CAAGGATGGTGCAAGGTTTGAGGCTAGTCAAGGCAAAAAGTTAGTGAAACCCTATTTCAAGGACAAGCTAGATGTAGTGGCTCACACCTGTAATCCTAGCTACTTGGGAGGTGGAGATAGGAAGATCTTGGTCCAAGACCTGGCAGGGCAAAAGTATGAGACCCCATCTGAAATTAAAAAAAACAAAACAAAACATAAAAACAAAAGTGCTCAAGTGATAGAGCACTTGCCAGCAAGCACAAGACCCTGAGTTCAATCCCTAGTTCCACAAAAAGAAAAAAAGGAACAAAAGTAACCATCCATCATTGCTAAGTAGTTAAATAAATTCTAGTACACCAATATTATACTGTACAATACAGTACTGTTGGGACCCTTAGAAATTGTTATATCTATAGTGTTTGACACTGAATGATAATCTTCATGTTTCATTAAGCAAACAGCAGGCTACCATTTAGCATTTTGAGTGTGATCCCATTTAATTGTTTTCTAACTTTGTCTATAATGAATACATTTTTATGATTTTAAAACATTGCCTAGAGCAGGGCCCCAGTGGCTCACAACTGTAAATCGTAGCTACCTGGAAGGCTGGGAACTGGAGGATCACAGTTAGAAACCAGCCTGGGCAAATAGTTTGTGAGGCCCCATCTCCAAAATAATCAGAGCAAAGTAGACTAGAGGTGTGACTCAAGCAGTAGAGTACCTTCTTTGCAAACGTGAAGCCTTGAGTTCAAACCCTAATCTCAACAACAACAACAAAAAACCAAACAAAAACATTGCTTAGTACAAGGTGCATAGTAAATGCAAAATGTAAGAATAGGTTGGCAGAGTGGCTCAATTTGTAAAGTTCCTGTCTAGAATGCACACGGTCCTGAGTTCAAATTCCAGTACTACCCAAAAAGGAAAAAAAACCAAAAGAATAAATTATCTTCCTTGTGTGTTGTGACTCTTGCCTGTACTCCCAGCATTTGGGATGCTGAGGCAGGAGGATTGTAAATTCAAGGCGAGCTCGGGCTGCATAGTAAGACCCTGTCTCACCACCCCCCCAATCACTCCCAAAAATTGAGGGCATGACCTTTGTAATCCAATTCTCCAACAGAACTAGGTAACCAGTACTACTAGAATACATCATTTCCCCATTTGGAAGCTTTGGATTCTTTATCCCTAAATGAAATTAATCTGACCAAATTTCAGGTTATTTTATGCTGGATAGATGCCACAGTGCTAAGCTAGGCGAAGTGATTTATATTACCTCCAGGTCACAGGCTCCATACAGTACACATGAACTTGAGATCTTTTTGGATAAGGCATGCAGCTGCTTTCAATGCACAAATGACAACTCTAATTTTGGTTAACTTGCTTTTAAAGAGACCAGAACCAAAATATAGTTTCTTGGGGCCCCACATACTTTATTTAGCAATTTAGCCCTAAATTTCAGAAGTAGCTAAAGACAGTAATGTAGTTTGGAAGGGAAGTGAGGTGAACTTGGGTATGCCAGCCTAACTCCTGGGAAGCAGCCTGTGTCTGGCCCTATGCTCTGAATTGCATCAGGAATCTTAACTTCATTTTCTAAGCTCCATAAAACCTTCTCCCAGGCCTCCCTTTTCTGAGTTTCATGGCCCTCTATGGAAATGAGAGCCTGTGTAATTGCAGAACACAAATGATTAGAGCAGGAAACAGTGAGACAACATTAAGATGCTCCCACAGGGTGGAGCTTGGAGTTAGAGAGAGACTGTTCCTGGGGCCTGCACCTTGGTTCTTTAGGCCTCCCCTTCTCTGGCACTGAAGACCAGATGGGGGCCCCAGAGAGACCCTGCATGCCCTTTGGAACAGAGGCTCCAAGAACCTCTTCTAGGAGGTCCTTCCATGACAGGCATTCGTGGCTCATGCATCCATGGCTCATGTCTGTAAATTCTAGCTACACTCTGGAGGCAGAGATCAGGAGGATCAGCCCGGGTGAATAGTTCATGAGACCCTATCTCGAAAATATCCAACACAAGAAAAGGACCAGTAGAGTGTTCAAGTGGGTAAGAGCACCTGCCAACCAAGTATGAAGTCCGAGTTCAAACTCCAGTACTGCCAAAAAAAAAAAAATTAGCTCCTTCCTGCAGTTGCTCAGCTTAGCCAGCTCTTCCTTACCACTCAGCCCAAGCCTGCTGCCCTGCCTGACTGATGAGGTGGTTTACAGAAGCACTCTATGTGAGGGTTGAAAGGGATTATTTTTCTTTATGTTTATTTAGTAGTCACATTCCTTCTGCCTACACACGCTTAACTTGCATTGTGAACTAAGAAAGTGACCTTTGCACACCAGCCCATGTCTTCTCCCACAAAAGGATTTTAAGAGCACTTGATGAGATTAAGTAAGTGGGTACAAGTGTCTGTGTAGTGGGTGCTCTAGAGGTATGGCTAATAGGGAGCTTCAGAAGGGTCTGTTCCTAACCAAGCACTTTGCATAAATTATTTTATTAATCCACACAGCAAAGAGGCCAAGTGTGTATTCTCCAGGCAGTCCCCCTGGTGAGGAAATTGGGACATGGAGATGAGTAACTTGCTCATGTTCACAGTGCTAAATGGTTAGCCTGGCTTTTTTTTTTTTTTTTTTTCTTTTTTAAGACGTGGTTTTCCTGTGTACCCCAGGCTGGCCTCAAACTTGCAATCCTCCTGCCTCATCCTCCCAAGTGCTGGGATATAGGTATGCATCACCATGCCTTACTAGACTGGCCCCTTAAGACTCGCCAAAGCCCATGCCCATCCATCACATCACCCTGCCCTTCACTCTTCAGCTTTCCATGGGGAAAAACAGGCAGCCAGTTAAGGGCTCTGAAAAACGCCAACCTCAGTGCTGATTTCCCAGAGGTTGGGATTTTACGGTAATTCTGGCAGGTTCAGTGAATTGTTAGGTTTCTCTTAATAATTTTCTTAAGGCTTTCCGTAATCTTGTGTTACACTAGGAATGTGTGAGCACTGCATTTGTGTTTTGTTTATATTTTGTGCTGAGTTTGAGGACATTTCTTAGTTGAATGATACAAGGAGGTGGACTTGGTTGGTATGGGTTGCAGTATATGTGGCAATCTGTCTAATTCTCCCTCCCACACACAACAAGTTGAGTGAAGACAGAGCAGAGTTTCAAGGTGTTAGTAAGTAATCCCACTATTTTGCCCAGCAGTGCTGCAATTGAAATGCTTAACTCCATTTGTCCCATATGGAGACCACAGTAGAAATCCTCAGCATGTTCTGCTTGCCCCATATACAACTCTTCATACCCCAGACCTCTTATCCAGACACATACTCCCACGACACACACACACATACACACACAGACTATCAGAGACTTAAGAAACTTACTAGTGGAGATTTGGGGGGATTTGTGTGTGTGTGTGTGTGTGTGTGTGTGTGTGTGTGTGTGTGTTGGTTGGTGACTATTGCTATGTTTGCTCATCCTATGGCCTTGAGAATTTGGAGGGACCATAGTTCAAGAATAATTAGTAGAGCCGGCTGCCTGTGTCTTATGCCTGTAATCCTAGCTACTTTGGGAGCTGAGATCAGGAGAATCGAGGTTTGAGGCCAGCCTGAGCAAGTACTTCGTGAAACCCCCATCTCCAAAAAAACAAGAGCAAAATGGCTTAAGCAGTAGAGTACCTGTTTTACAAGTGTGAAGCCCTAAGTTCAAACCCCAGTCCTACCAGAAAAAAAAAAAAAGCAAAGAAAATTAGTAGCTTCTTGGGTATGTATTAGAATGAGAAAAAGGGAAGGAAAGTAGACAATGTAGAGAATTAAAGATCTGAAAATAAGCGGGACAAAGCTGAGGTTCCAGGGTCTTAATAGGGAGAAACCCTAAGAAAAGGAAGGAGTCATGAGAAGTGGGTTGTTATTTGTGGAGTAAATTGGATTTGGGTAAACCTTAGGAGAATGGACCAGGGAAGAAGTCCTAGAAGCAGACTTGAAGTCTTTTGGGCTGGAATTCAGAGGTCTCAAGCACTTGGAACATGATCTATAAGGAACCAGTGGTCATCTCCTGGACACCACAGGCTCTTTGCCCACAGGGAAGAGGCGCAGCCAGAGGAGAGCCATAAGGGTCCTGTAAATCATGGCATCCAGGACTGGCCAGGTTGCTATGTCCTCATCACCTGACACTGTCCTATGGGGCAGTAGAAAGACAAAGTGAGGTGGCAGAAAACTAGTTATAATCTGGCTGTGCCCTGATTAGCTGTGTGACCTTGCTCAAGTTTTTATCCAACTTTAGACTTCATGTATAGTCTTGCTGTCCTTTCTACCCCTAAAGATCCTTCACATAGAGGCCATCAATCATTGATTTTGTGTGTGTGTGTGTGATGCTGGGGATAGAACCCAGGCCTTGTGCACGCTAGACAAGAGCTCTACCACTGATCTGCATCCCCAGCCCTTCATTTTTTTTTTTTTGTTTTTGAGACAGGTCTTGATTTGTAGCCCAGGTTTGCCTCAAAACCATGATCCTCCTGCCTCAGCCTCCCAAGTCATGGGATTACAGGTGTGTACCACCAGGCTGAGTTATCCCTCAGTGTTTCTGAAGGCCCCAGTGGTGCCCAGGGATATACCCTAGTTGGATAGGAGACCTAGAGCTTGTCTGGTGAGAAAGAAAAGAGTTTGAGGTAGGGTCTGATACAGCTCCATAAGGAGCAGTGCTGAAACTGGAAGTAGCCTTGTGGGCCAAGGCTGCTGCATTCCAAAGCCTTAGGACAGTGACTGCCTCACCCTTTGTGTCAGTGTCTCCTGACTTGTTTTTGCCGTATTCTTAGAAAAGCCATTGGATTTTCGTGCCCCAGTTTCTTTTCTTAGGTTTTTTTTTGTTGTTGTTTTTTGTTTTTTGTTTTGTTTGAGTGGGGAGAATCAGACCCAAGGCTTTGTGCATGCTATCACTCTATCACAGAACTACATCTTCAGCCTTTGTGCCTCAGTTTCTTCAGTAAGTTTAAAAGTTAATGTTTGGGGTTACAATAAAATTACTCCTTTTCCTTCATTCACAGAGATGTTGCAGTTTGTCAGCAACCAAGTGGGAGAGTTTCCTGATTTGTTTTCAGAGCAGCTGTGTAGCTCCTTTCCTGGTGGTGGTGGTAGTAGCAGCAGCAGCGGCGGCAGTGGTGGTGGCGGCAGCAGCGGTAACAGCAACAGCAGCAGCAATGGCCGGGGCAACAGTAGTGGAGCTGTGGATCCCTCAATACAGCGGTCATTCAACCAGGTTCCATTATCTTCCTTCTCTCCTTCGGCTGCCTCCCCCCAGGCTCCAGCCCTGCAGGTCAAGGTCCCTCCTGCTGCAGTTCCCACTCCACCAAGGACAACTCCTGTTCTCCAACCCCGTCCCCAGCCCCAGCCTCAACCTCCAGCTCAACTGCAACAGCAGACAGTAATGATCACCCCGACATTCAGCACTGCCCCACAAACAAGGATCATCCAGCAGCCATTGATATACCAGAATGCAGCCACCAGCTTTCAAGGTGATTCAAAAGTCAGACCTAGAACTGTTTGTTTGTTCCAAGGTTTATGTGCCTGATTGCAGACACTGCAGTTAGTTCTGTTCTCTTTGAGGAGGACAAAATATATCAATATGGTTCGGTCTGGACAAGTTTCTAGTCAGTGGTAGTATGCACTAGAACTGGTGCAGGAGCATTTTATATTCTGCTTCCTCAAAAACCTTAGTATCTATTAGACCTGCTTCAAGGGTGTCAGTCAAACAGTTCAACAAACATGGTAGATAAGGGGGCGATCTTGGTAACTGGAGGTGGAATCTTAAATAAAATTGGGCATGAAATTTGCCTAGGCAGCAGCCAGAGCTGAACACCCACAGGTAAGAACCATTCATTCAGCACACAGCTTCTCTGCATCCACTGTAGAGACAAATACAACTTTTAAAATAGGCCCTGCATCTCTGAGTATCAGGCCTCATGGCGTGTTCTCAGTATGTGTTACTGAGTGAATAACTAAAGTACTGCATTGCAGTGACTATGGGGAGCCCTGGGTGGTTTGAGTGTTGCTCTGAATTTGAAAACTCTGATATCTCCTCAGTGGGTTTCAAGAATTTGGGGGTGTGGGGTGGGTAAAATAAAAAAGCTGAGACCGTCTTCCCAAAGCACATTTCCCATCCAGAAAGGATGGAGGGAAATGAAGCCCCAGGGAGTTGTTTATTTTCAACATCTATTAACTCTTGCTGGGTGCAGTCATTTGCTGATTAACTTCCCTTACCTCTACCCCAGCTCCCAGAGTAGTAAAACAGTTTGTACTCGTTCCCTCAGACGTTGATGCAGCCCTTATGGGATGTCCTTATTCTCTAAGCCAGCTTGTAAATGGCTGTGCGCATCTTCTTCAGCAGCATGCGGGGAGTTGGGATCGTTATGAGACACTCCATCCTCCGGTTATTGCTGCAGCTACAGTGACAGCATGCACTCCACCACCATGTAACTTTTTTCTCCTCTTCCCCCAAGTTCTTCAGCCTCAAGTCCAAAGCCTGGTGACATCCTCCCAAGTACAGCCGGTCACCATCCAGCAGCAGGTACAGACGGTACAGGCCCAGCGGGTGCTGACACAAACAGCTAACGGCACATTGCAGACCCTTGCCCCAGCCACAGTGCAGACAGTTGCTGCACCCCAGGTGCAGCAGGTCCCGGTAGGTGACTGGGAAGGATTCAAGGAGGTACTGGTTGGGGCTGTCAGCTGATCCTTGGTTGCAGATGTGGTCTGCATATTAAGAAGATCAGCTTGTAGAGCTGGTAAGGGCACCTGGGCCCCAGGATGCATCTGTGAGCAACATACAGACCTGGCTGAGACTTACCTGTAGATCCACACTGATACCCACGTATACTCGGGGATGGTATACCAATTCTGGGCTAGTGACCATTAACATATAATGAGTATAAAACTGGGAGTTAAAAAAAAGTACCAAATTGTTGTCTCTCAAATGATTTTGTGTTTTCCCTGTTTTCTGCGGTGTTTTTTATGTCATGTATCATAGCATTTGGACTGTATTTTCTCACTCATATGTCTTAAAAAAACAAACAACAAAAAACAGGTTTATTCTTTTTACTTCTCAGCCATGTTCTTCCTGGTTTTCTTGAGACTATCCAAAGTCAAATGTCTCTTCCTCCACCATCCACTGTGACTCATCCCTGCTCTATTCCTGCCAGCCACTAGAACTGCCCTCCTCGAAGCCTTAACAGCCAGGACTCTTTCTAGCTGTCCACTCTCCTCCTCAATGCAGTATTCAGGCTATCAAAAAAAAAAAAAAAAAAAAAATCAGCCCACTTTTGCTTGGTGTGGTGGCTCAAGCCTATAATCCTAGCTGCTTGAGAGCTGAAGATCAGGAGGATTACAGTTCAAGGCCAGCCTGAACCAAAAGTTCTCAAGACCCAATCTCAACCAATGGCCAGATATGGTGGTGTGTGCCTGTCATCCCTGCTGTGTGGGAAAGCACAAACAGCAAGATTGTGATCCAGGTCAACCCAGGCATAAACAAAGTGCTATCTCAAAAATAACCCAAAAAGGACTGGCAAAGTGGCTTAAGTGATAAAGTGTCTGCCTAACAATCCCAAAGCCCTGAGTTCAACCCTAGTATGGCCCCAAGAAAACACCATCTTTTGAAATGGCTTCTTTGAAATTTCCTGGTGCTTTTTTAATTTCCAGTTCATGAAAATTATACTTCATTATTATTTCTTAGAGGGTTCATGCAGTAAGAAACAAGTATAAAATAAGAAAAATAATGCTGCTTTTCTTTGTTTCTTTCTCTATCCAGGTCCTGGTCCAGCCTCAGATCATTAAGACAGATTCTCTTGTTTTGACCACACTGAAGACAGATGGCAGCCCTGTCATGGCTGCAGTCCAGAACCCAGCCCTCACTGCCCTCACTACCCCCATCCAGACGGCTGCCCTTCAAGTACCAGTAAGAACTGTCTTCTCCCCTGCCCTTTTCCCTCCTCCACCTCCTTAGAGTTGTTAGGCTTCAGAGATGTTAAAGTCTACCTGCTGAGGTGTCAGAAGCTCCATAGAATATGTTGGCCTAATTATAAGCATCACCCCACTTTTAGCTTTGTTTTCCCTTGAACAAGTACCACAAGATGTGTTCAGTGGGGTTCCTGGGATCTGTTAGGGGGTGAGAAAAAACACTAGAGGAAGCCTTATTTCTGGGCAACAACTGCACAGTTGGACCATCATCTCCCAGATCCTGTTATTGATGGAGGTTTGACTTCTGAAGGACCCTAGGCTGGGTCACCAGGCAGGGAGGGGTGCCAAGGTGGGGGATATGGAAGGCAACTATTTTTCAGTTATAGAGTGTTAGCAATTTGATGGCAAATTTGTAGAAAGAAATGTACTTACTTTACTTAATTTGAGAAGGAAAAAAATATCTCATATACCAGGAGAGAGTTTTCTTAACTCTCTGGACAGTGATTCTGAAAAGAAGGTAACACCTGAAGTGCCATGGCTCCTGAGGCCTCCTGGGGCCCGATTTCATTAGCCCAGGAAGGATCTCAGACCACATAAAGTATTATCAGGAGATGCCACATGGCCAGAACCTAGCTACTTTGTGTTGTGAGGTTACTTTACTCAGGCTAATGAAGGAATAATTCTGCCCTTTTTCTAGACCTTGGTGGGCAGCAATGGGACCATTCTGACCACAATGCCTGTGATGATGGGGCAAGAGAAAGTGCCCATTAAACAGGTACCGGGTGGAGTCAAACAACTAGAGCCCCCCAAAGAAGGAGAAAGGCGGACAACACACAATATCATTGAGAAGCGGTATCGCTCCTCTATCAATGACAAAATCATCGAGCTGAAGGACCTGGTAATGGGAACAGATGCCAAGGTGGGTGCCAAGCAAAATGGTGTTTCATGCCCTGCCATCTCCCCTTAATGTCTTCGCTGTGGAAGTTAAGGAATTTTATGTTGAGTGAATGCAAAAATGACTTAGAGGTACTTTTTTATTAAAACTTCTTGGTGTTTGTCAGGATTATAAAATAATAACTAAAATATGAGGACAATGTTGAAAGTTGGTAGAGAAGTGACCTACTGGGACCTTTGACTCTGACTCTGTTCTGCTGTGACTGTGATCCCCAGAGTCAGAGGCAGAGAGAGATATCTGATACTCACCCAGAGGTCAGACATAGGATTATGTGAACCTTAGAGACCTCTAGAGAACCTTAGAGACAGCTGACATATTTTAAGCTGTGTTCACAGGTGGGTAGCAGTATTTTTACAGGAAAAAAGAAAGAGAAAGTGGAGACTGGGTCTTTGACCAGGAGCAGAGGAAACACTAGCCTCAATCTCTGCCTCCTGAGTAGCTAGGATAACAAGTGTGAGACACCAGCCCCATGTGTTTTGATGAATGTGCCTCCTGGCAAATGGATTTTTAAAACTCTATTTCTGTTTCACTTCACCCCTGTTTTGAAAGAAAGTTTCATTGTTTTCCTTATGGTGTGTAGATCTGTAAGGTATGTACCTTAAGTAAAACTACGTATCATTACTTAAGAAACGATCTCTAACAATGCTCTCGGGGTTTGTTTGTTTTGCAATAATAGGGTTTGAATCCAGGGTTTTGTGCATGCTAGACAAATGCTCCACCACTGAGCTACACCCTCAGTCTAGTGCTCTGTTTTTTGTCATCTGTTTTCTTTAAATTTTGTTTCTATGCTAGTATTATAAATGGGAATATTAACTAATACTTACTGTGTATCAATTATGTGCCAGGTTCAAAACTAAACTCCTTACATATATTGCCTCATTTAGCTGTCACTGCCAGCCTGTGATTCATATGCTGTTGTTATTCCCATGTTAAGGAGGAGAGAAGAGGTTCAGAGATAGGGAGTTTCTTGTCCCAGGTAGTCAGCATCTTGTACCCTTTAGCCATGCACAAACTCTGGCACTCTGCTCTCTCCACTTCAGCCTGCACTGGTTTTACTGTGTTTCACTCATTTTCCTTCCCAGATGCACAAGTCTGGTGTTCTGAGGAAGGCCATTGATTACATCAAATACTTGCAGCAGGTCAATCATAAACTGCGCCAGGAGAACATGGTGCTGAAGCTGGCAAATCAGAAAAACAGTGAGTATACATGTTGAGAAAGGGCTGTCAGACCTCCCAGTTGTGTGAGAATCCCGGTGACGGGTACTGGGAAGGGCCCACAGATATATATGAGACCTAGCCCAGTACCAGCCTAGGTGGGGTTTTCTTTACAGAGTTCCTGAAGGGCATCGACCTAGGCAGTCTGGTGGACAACGACATGGACCTGAAGATCGATGACTTTAATCAAAATGTTCTTCTTATGTCGCCTCCGGCCTCCGACTCAGGGTCCCAGGCTGGCTTTTCCCCCTACTCTATTGACTCTGAACCAGGAAGTCCCCTATTGGATGATGCAAAGGTATGAGTTTGTTCATTTTGTGGTTTTTTTTTTGTGGTACTGGGGTTTGAACTCAGGCTTCACTTGCTAGGCAAGTGCTCTACCACTTGAGCCATGCGTCCAGCCTAAGTATGAACTTTTAAAATTTCCTAGCCCTTGAATTGTCTTTCATCTCCCATAAGAATACAGTAGGGCAGCCACAGGGAAGTGGTCAAACCAGATGTCAGGAGGGCCTAGACTGTAAAGGAACAGTAGTTCTGTGAAATTAGCTAGGTCCTAGAGAATAAAGAAGAAGAAAACCATCGCCGTGTGGTAGCCCACACCTGTAATCCCAACACTTGGGAGCTGTAATCCCAACACTTGGGAGGCTGAAGCAGGAAAATTCAAACCTCAAGGCCAGCCTGCGGTCTCAACACACACACACACACACACACACACACACACACACACACACACACAAAAAAAAAACAGGGAAATAGGGTGGGAGAGGGGGGAGAGAACTACACAGTCCCATGGGTTTAACTGGTCCATGCTAAAAGGCCCCATCAGAAAGAAATGAGTGCCAGATCTAGAATGAGGACACTGAACAGCTGTTGGGTGGGCTCAGGGAGTTGCTAGAGGCATCTCATTACTTCCCTCTGCCAGTAATGGGCCTGGCAAGATCTCTTTGTGAGGGTAATCAGTTGGTTTAGGACAAGGCTGCCTCTGGGTATTCTTTTCCAGAAATGACTACAATTTGCAGTCTAACAGATAACATTCCAACCAAGGGCTTTTAATTTTGTGTGTTTGTGTGTGTGTGTGTGTGTGTGTGTGTGTGTGTATAATGTGTGTGTGTGTGTATAATGTGTGTGTGTGTGTGTGTGTGTGTGTGTATACATATAAAAGCCCCTGGCAATTGCAGTTTAATGGAATTAGTTAAAAGAGACTCTGAACCTAATGATCTTCCTAGGAACATTTGGAGAACACTGGATCCTATACTGTGTTTTGACACAGCATAAAATTTCATCCTAGTTTATGTTTTTGGCTAAGCTATTTATTCTATCACATACTTACTTTTACTAAGGAAGCTCTGTTTTGAAATGTTTTATAAATGTGATCCTGTTTGGTAACAGAAGGCCATATGACATATTATTTGAATTAGCTAAAATTCTGAGTCATCAGAAGAAATTTTCAAAGAGTTTTAAAACATTAAAAAGTGATATATGGTAGGTACCAACCTTCCCTGGGACCAGGAAAAATGTAGCGCCGTCCTTCCTTCCTTGCCCATGTGGGCTATCAGGACCTCTGCATTCGATTCTTTCTCTGTAAAATAGGAGAGGAAAAAAGCAACGTTCAAGTCTTAAAATAGGCAAACTCCTTTAGACGGATCCATGCTAAAATATAGTCTTTAATCATCTCTATTGAGGTATAATTTATATGCAATAAATATGCCTATTTTAAATGTACAATACCAGGAGTTTTAGCATATATGCTCACCTATGTAACTGTCACTGTGATCAAGATGTAGAGCATGTCTAACATCCCCAAAAGCTCTTCCTACACCCTTGCAGGTAGTTCACACACCTCTCTCCAACCTCTGGCAACCTCTGATCCATCAACATACAGTCAGATTACTTTTGCCTGTTCTAGAATTATACAAAAACAGAATCTTGTAGTATGTTCTCTTTTGTTATAGAGATCCCTTTTAAAAGAAAATTCCCCCTGCCTTTATTCTTTAGAGCATGTACTTTTCTCAGTCAGCAAGCGGGAGAATGCTCCAGGGTTTGAACATAAGACTGAATTGTGGACATCTTAACTCCTTCTGGCTTTATTCCTGTCTGACTTAACAGTTATAAAGTGCTATAAAAACCCTCTCAGTATTCATTCTAACCCTGAGGCCTTGTTTTGAAGGTCAAAGATGAACCAGACTCTCCTCCTGTAGCACTGGGCATGGTGGACCGCTCTCGAATTCTTCTGTGTCTCCTCACCTTCCTGGGCCTGTCCTTTAACCCCCTGACTTCCCTGCTGCAATGGGGAGGAGCCCACAACGCTGACCAGCATCCATACTCAGGCTCTGGACGCAGTGTGCTATCATTTGAGTCAGGTAGGTGGGGAAACCCTTCATGCCACCTGGGAGTAGGTGGACTGCTATGGCAGGAGAAGGACCCTCTGTACAAACTACATGATTTATCTACCTAATCCAAAAGGAGTGGGCCCCCACCTACTTGATTCTGACAGCAACTAATCTAAGTTACATTTTAGAAGTAACAAGGGAAACTTAAAAAAGTTCAGTCAGGAAGAGCAAAAGTTATTCAGAAATCTGCATTGTTATAATTACCCTGGGGGAAGGGCGTAGAGGAGGAAAGAATAGAACCTTTTAGGGCAGGATGTGGTGGGGTTTTTTTACATGAGATATGAAACTAAGGTCCAAACCCTCTTGGCCAAGTTTTTTGTGGCATTCAGCTCCATGGTGGCAGGGGCTATATATAGGATTCTTATTTAGGCTATAGAATTGTCCACCCTTTCTTCTGAAAGTGAGATAGAAAACTTTTTGATGTCATACTTCTGGGGTCCGTTAGGTGCCCAGTTGTTTCACAAGACCCTTCCTGGTGGTCTCAGCTGGGATACTTCTCTTTAGGTTCTGGTGGCTGGTTTGACTGGATGATGCCAACTCTCCTCCTATGGCTTGTAAATGGTGTGATTGTCCTGAGTGTCTTTGTGAAGCTACTAGTCCATGGGGAGCCAGTGATCCGGCCACACTCACGCTCCTCAGTTACCTTCTGGAGGCACCGGAAGCAGGCAGACCTAGACCTTGCCAGGGTAAGTTCCATCTTCACTTTTTCTCATCCTCTCCCAGGCTTGGCCAGTAACCCAGCAACTGGTGTTGAGTCCCTAGTGTGGATAAAGTCCACATAGGATAAAGTCCTGTGGCAGGTGCTGGTGGTAAGGTAACTAAGAAGAGAAAGGGACCCTATGCCTGAACAGTCACAGGACAGTGGAGAAGAGGGCACTATGAATAAGTCATGCCATGGTCACAAGGTGATCTGTCATCTATGCTATGACAGACAGTGTTTTGGGATCTTGGGGCAGAGGATATGAGTTATGATTGAGGAGATCTGGGGTGAGAGTGGGGCTGTCTAGGGCAGAAAGGATAGGCAGGTGTGGCAGAAGAGCCCTCTAAGCTTACTGTGTCATCAGTAAACTGGCAAGTTCAGTGGGTATATCTGGAGTGCAAGATATGTCAGAGAGAGGTGAGAGCGAAGGCTGGTAATGTGACTAGGCCCAAACTGGAAAGGACTTTGACTAGTAACTAACTTAGGACTTTATTTCCAATTCTCTGGAAAACCAGGGAAGATTTTTGAGCAGGAAAACTAGCTGGAAGTTTTCATTTGAAATCAGTAAGGGGAGTTTATGGGAAGGATCCTATGGCAACTCACAGTACTGAAGGAAGAGTTAAATGTACACGTCTCAGGAGACATGTGAACCAGAACATTCCTGAGCAGCAGTAAACCGTGAACCTACTCTCTCCTCCAAAGTCTATTAAAACAAAAATGCAGCTGGTCGCAAGTGGCTATACTTGTAATCCTAGCTATTTGGGAAATTGAGATCAGAAAGATTGTGGTTCAAGGCCAGCACTGGCAAATAGTTCACAACCCCCGTCTGCAAAATAACCAGAGCAAAATGGACTGGAGGTGTGGCTCAAGCAGTAGAGCACTTGCTTTGCAAAAAAGAAGCCCTGAGTTCAATCCCCAGTCCCACCAAAAAAAAAAAAAAAAAAAAAGCCATAGCAAGGCCAGTAACCATTTTACCCTCTTATTCCTTTGTAGGGAGATTTTGCAGCTGCTGCTGCCAACCTAAAAATATGTCTATCAGTTTTGGGCCGGGCACTACCCACCTCCCGCCTAGACCTGGCCTGTAGCCTCTCCTGGAACGTGATTCGCTATAGCCTGCAGAAGCTGCGCCTGGTGCGCTGGCTGCTCAAGAAAGTCTTCCAGCGCTGGCGGGCCACCCCAGCTACTGCAGCTGGCTTTGAGGATGAAGCCAAGAGCAGCGCACGTGATGCAGCCCTGGCCTATCATAGACTGCACCAGCTTCACATCACAGGTGAGGGGCCAGTTGCTGCTACCAAGTTTGTTACAAAGTATCCCATGCTATCTCTTCTTAGCTTGGTTTGCCATGTCTTCATCCTGGTTGAAGCCCCTTTTACAGTATTTTAGACAAGCCTTCCACCTGTATGTAACTGTAGTTCATTATCTTTCTTTTTTTTTTTTTGGCAGTACTGGGTTTGAACCCAGGGCCTTGAACTTGCAAGGTAAGCACTCCACCACTTGAGCCATGCCCCTATCACTATAGGGTGATGCATTCTGTTTTGAGCACAATGTTTGCAAACATTAAAAAATGTTTTTTAAAAAAAATGACTGATTGCAGTGGTTCAAGAATGTAATCCTATTCCTTGGGAGACAGAGATCAGGAAAAACATGGTTCAAGGCCAGCCCAGGTAAAACAACGTAATGTCCCATCTCAGCCAATCTCTAGGCACCATGGAGTGCCTGTCATTCAAGCTATGCAGGGAAGTATAAATAGGAGGATCACTGTCCAAGCCGGCCCAGACATAAAGCCAGACCCTTTCTCAAAAATAACCAGTGCAAGGCTGGGATGTAGCTCAGTGGTAGAGCACTTGCCTAGCATGTATGAGGCCCTGGGTTCAATTGACAGCACCAAACAAGAAAAGACAAAAAATAAAATAACAATGCAAAAAGAACTGGTGGAGTGGCTCAAGCGGTAGAACATCTGCCTACCAAGCCCCTGAGTTCAAACCCCAATACCATTTCCCCCCGCCCAAAAAAATGTAAACCCAGTAATATTTTACACTCTGTGTGCCTTATAAAAATGGCATATCATGAATTACTTGGCAATAACATTTAAATTAATGAGACTTTAAATTGATGGCATCTTAGACTTGATGTAATATAATCCTTCATTTTATTCAGTAAGCTGCTGCTCTAATAGAAAGGCGGTCAGGGCAGCAAGTAGATGACAGTTTTTACATTGGGAAAAAGTGGATTCCTACTGGGGAGGAGTTCAAGGAGGTAAAGTCTTGGTTCCTCACAGAAGAATGTATAGAAGTCAGCAGCTCTGCAGATGTGCCTTCCAGGCAGAGAGATGTTCTCAGGCAGTATTCCAGTAGTCATAGAATGAGCCGTGCAGGGAGAGGAAGAGGGAGCCAGGCCACAAGAGTTAGGGAAGGGTCTGAATGCCAGATTAGGGATCTTGTATATCATAGGATCCAGTGAAGGGTGCTAGGAAAATAATTTTAAAAACCTGATTAGATTGGTTCTTCTGAAGTTGAAGAGGTTTGCTCTAGTGGATTGGATTGGATCAGAGATTGGATTAAGGCCGGAGTTGGAGACCAAATAGGAACAAATGCAGTTGGAAGATGAAAGAAGCTTTAAGGGCATGTGGGGAGAAAATGAGCAGGTAGAATGATTGGACTTGGGAACTAATTGGATGTAATATGTAAGGGAAAGAGCTGACGAGGATGGTTCCCTGGCCTCTTGCTCGGGAGTTTGGTTGAACAGTAAAGGAATCAGGAGGAAGAGCAGTTTTCCCAGGAAAGGGTGATGTGTTCTGTTTGGGGCAGTTTCCCCTAGGACACAGACTGTTCTGTAGGTAGCTGAACCTGTGGAACCTGCGTCCCAGAGAAGAAAATAGGCTCTAGATAGCTGATGAGAAAGAGGGCTAAAAGGTAACTCTAGGGTATGACCCCAGGAAGATGTTGGAAATCGCTGGTGGCTGTGAGGAACTTTAGCAGAAGAGGAGCCATCCCAGGTATCAAGGATGGAGGAGTGACCAGGAGATGACACAGTGGACCATTTAAGCAGCTTTAACAGAAGAGTTTTAGCAAAAGGTCCATATCTGCAAATCTTTTTGCAGAAAAGCAAGAAAAAAAATCTTGCTTTTTTTCTTCTGTCTCTTGGTGTGTTCTTAAAACAGATGAGTCCCACACCCAGTTGTCTGATCAGTAGACTGTGTCCTCCTAGCTATCAAGTTTTATAGAATTCCAGCTGGGAAGTTTCACATCACTCATTCCTTCCACACTGAGCATTCTCTGGGACAGGGTCTGTGGTAGTCATTGAGGCGACATAGGTGAGTAACACCTTGGTGTTCATACTGCACTCTACCTTCCTCCCCCTGAAGGAGAAAGCTTGGAGCTCCAATGGGGAAGCAGAATGAATTATGGGTGCTCCCCATGCTAATGAAAAAAGACAGCTAAGAGGGAAGAACCCTCAGCTGAGCAAAATCTGAGACCTAACTTTGCCATCATCTGGAACCTTAGCACTGACACTTCTGTGGCTACCCTTGAGGCAAGGCGACAGCTTGCATTTGCCACCTTCAGGCCTTCGTACTGAGGACTGAAGCAAGTAACAGTATGAAAGCTTCAAGACAACTGTGACCTTGGTCCTGTGCAGGGGCACCTTTTTCCTTCATCTCAGGATTGCCCCCAGATGGACCACTGTGAAGTTTTCATAGGGGAAGACATAGTAAGCCTTTCCTGGCCACCTACTAAACCAACATGTGTCTAGCTCTTATTGGTCTGTCTTTTCAATGGAATGTGTGGAATGTGTACTTTGGGGATTATGAAAATAAATTTAAATGGGTTTTGGGTTTTGTTTTTTGGTTTTTTCATTACCTTCATTGAAATGTTTGGAAACTTAGAACTATATGAACAGAATGTGGCTATCCTGTTGACAGTGTCTGAGCCAGGTGTCATGTCCCCAGTTATCTTGTGAGGTAGACCAGAGCACATAGCTAGTAAACTGCAGAGCCTGGTGTCACATCTGGTCCTGATCACAAAGGTCACCTCCTTTCTCTTCTAGTACCACTGTTACTCAGGACTGTGCTAGAGAAAGCAGGAAGGTATTTGAGTTTGGAGAATCTGTCAACATTAGTGTCTGTTTCTGCCTGCCCTAGGGAAGCTTCCTGCAGGATCTGCCTGTTCAGATGTACACATGGCTTTGTGTGCTGTGAACCTGGCTGAGTGTGCCGAGGAGAAAATCCCACCAAGCACACTGGTTGAGATCCATCTGACAGCTGCCATGGGGCTCAAAACCTGGTGTGGAGGCAAGCTGGGTTTCTTGGCTGTGAGTACCTTTCAGTTCCCTTCCACAAATCTCTGCTGAGCACCTTCCCCAGACAGGAACTAAAAAGCAGTGTTGGCCCTAACCTGGGGTGCCTACCACCTAAAGGGGCAGGTATTCGTTCACTCTTTCATTCCACAAATACATAGCAGTGAATAAAACAGACCAACATTCTTCCTTTCCTGGCTCTTACAGACACAAGCTTTATAAGCAGGACATGTTGGTGCCTTTAGGTAAGAAGATTGATTTAAGGATACATTGTGAATGTATGTGGGCATTAGTATTTGACTCTTCATTCTTATAGTCTTCTAGTTATATCTCTTGGTTGTTTTTTTCACCCAGAAGGTATTTATTGGTCACCTTGTACCAGTCACAGCACTATGGATCCAGAAGTGAAAGCCTGTGCCTATCTACAAAGAACTCAGTGGTAGGAACTGAGGTTATGCCTCCTCTGTGCCTGGCAAGGTGCCAGTCATGGTTATTCATGGTTGGCTAATTCCCAGTCCTTGTTAGTAGCTAGTTCATAGCATATGCTGACCTCAGGCTTTCTCTTACTCTAGCAGAGACAGGCACATTTTACTCAGTGCCCCACTTTGCATAGACTGCTGAACACAATAGATATGTGTTCAGAATGCAGTTATAACATCTCAGTTTGTTTCTGTATCTCAGTAGTGGAGGTGATACACTGAGAATGAACAGGAGCATGCTCTGTTGTGGCACTGATATGCTTCCTAAAGTGATTCACTGTAGCCTAGGTGACAAAGGGCATAAGGAAACCCAGTGTCTTTTGTTCCTATGTCCATAGATAAGACATCCACCCTTGATTCAGTTATTCAGCAAACTTTACTGAGCACCTGCTCTGGGCAAGGACTGCAGAGTGGATGGTACACAGAAGTGTTCAGTCAGGCTTTCAGGAAAGTGCAAGGATGAGTGTTTGAGCAGGGGCTAACCTTGGGTAGAACAAGCTGGGCTCCTGACCATGTCTTTGTGGAAGACAAAGTGGGCTTTCTGGGAAAGGTGCATTAAGGCTGAGAGCAGGAGATATTGGCAAGGCCTTTCCCCTATTCAGTTTGTCTTAGTGCCCTAGGCTGTGTCATCATGCTTATAACTTTTTTTGCTCCTAAAATTATTTGAAGGTATTAATTTTATCAAACCATGACATACATACAGAAAATGTACACATTTTAACTTACACCTTGATGAAAGTAAACTCACCCATGTAACAACCACCCAGAAGCCTCCCTGGGCTCTTGCTACTCTTCCTGCATCCCTCCCGCCACAACCCTATTATGAATTCTGTCACTGTAGTTTAATCTGCCTACTGTTTGTTTCTGTAGATCTTTATTGAAGTACAATATGAATGTAAAAAAGTACACAAATCATAAATATACTGCTCAATAACTTCACAATGTAAACTATCTATCTAATCAGCAGCCAGATCAAGACCTCAGAAACCTGCCTTGAGTCTCCCTTGTAGGCACTAAACTGTTCCTTTCTCAAGTCCTACAGCCAGTGGTAACAGCTATCCTGATCACTAAGATGTTTTGCCATTATTTATGTTAGGAGAGAAGGTTGTATGTATTGTTTTGTGTCTGGCTGCTTCTGCTCAGTATCATATGTAAGACTGATTTACGCTGTCATACAGAGTTACAGATTGTTCATTCTTACTGCTTTATAGTATACACTGTATGTTTAGATGGACTTTTGAGTTGCTTCCTACTTGTGGTTGTTCCTGAAGTACACTGCTTTGAATATCCTATACACATCTTTCAGTGAATATATGGCTACATTCAAGGAAAAGCATTGTCAGTTCAGAGGTTCTGCACATTTCCAAAGTGGTGCTAAATTCCACTCTCTTAGTAGTGCAGAATAGCTGCCACATCATATTGTCGTCAAACACTGGTAGTGTCAGAGGGATTTTTTAGTCCTTTTGGTATATCTAATTGTGGTTTTTATTTGCCCTTTCGAAGTGGTTAATGATGTTGAACACCTTTTCATATATTTACTGTCAATTTGGATAGTCTCTTGTGAAAATCCTTTTCAAGTCTTAGCTGTTTTTTATTTGGGGTGTCTGTGTTTTTATTGATACAGCTCTGTATTGTGTATTTGATGCTTTGTTAGATATATGCTTTGCGAATGTCTTTTCTCTTAATTATGTCTGCTAATGAGCACACGTTCCTAATTTTAATGAAATCTGGATTATTAATCTTTTCCTTTGCAGTTAAACACTGTGTTCTGTTGAACAAATCTTTGCCCTCCATGAGACTCATGAAGATGTTCTCCAGTGTTGTCTGTTATAGTCTATTACAAGCAATGGCTTTTGGTTTTTGGTTTTTGGTTTTTACTCTACATGCGCAGATCCCCAATCCACTGAAAATGTTTTTTGTATGAGTTGAAGGTAGAGGTACAAAAATCACTTTTTTTTTTCCATATGGGGATCTACCTGACCCAGTACCTGTTATTTTAAAAACTATCTTTTGCTGGTGGAGTGACTCAAGTGGTAGAGGGTCTGCCTAGCAAGCATGAGACCCTAAGTTGAAACCCCAGTACCACCAAAAAAAAAAAAAAAAAAAAATGTTTCCACTACAGAGTGGTACCTTGTTTTATACATCTAGCGTCCATGTGTAATGGGTCTGGTGCTGAACTCTAGTCAGTTCCATTGCATCACCACACAGCTCTACTGGCTCACTTTTTCTAATACTTTTTATTTTTTTCTTTCGGTGGTTGTGGTAGTACTGGGGTTTGAGCTCAGGGTCTTGTGCTTGCTAGACCAGGTACTCTACCACTTGAGCTGCATATCCAGCTTCTTTTTTCTCTTTGAAACAGTGTATCACTATGTAGCCCAGGCTGGCCTGGAATTATGTAGGCTAGGCTGGCCTCAAACTCATGATCTTCCACCTCCCATCTCCACTGGGATTACAGGCATGAGCTGTCATACCCAGATCACTAACGTTTGTATGGTACCCTAGGCCAAAAGAAGTACCTCAACAGTTCTATTTGTGGTAGTAGTTTAGTTGTTTGTTCAGTTGTCAATAGTTGAAATATCCCAATAAGTATTTATGTCTTAACAGCTTAGTAGCCATTGAAAAAGTGTCATACATGAAATTAAAAGAAGACATAATATATTTAATCTCTACTAACCATGATTACTTACTAATGGGATGCATGTATCTATTGAGCACTGTACACTTTCTCAAGCCTCAGAATCAGATTGGACACAAACACTCCCATTTCCTGTTCCATGCTGATTTTTCACACAATGCTTGCTTTTTACCACAACAACCTCCAAAAACTCAGCTTCACAAAGATAGGATATCACTTAAAGCAAGAAGTATAGTCTCATTTTTGACTCTGTGAAACAACTCAATCCTGTCCAACTGATGTTAAGCATTGTTACTTCCCTCAAAAATTTCAAAATTGAGCCAGGCACTGCTGGCTCATACCTGTAATCCTAACTACTCAGGAGGCAGAGATCAGGAGGATTGCAGTTCAGAGCCACCCCAGGCAAATAGTTCTTGAGACTATCTCAAAAAAAGCCATCACAAAAAAGGGCTAGTGGAGTGACTCAAAGTGTAGGCCCTGAGTTCAAACCTCAGTACTGCAAAAAAAAAAAAAAAAAAAAAAAAATTCAGATGTTTCTTGATTCCCCTGAGCACTCACTGTATCACTTTAGGATGCCTTGGCACACAATTTGAACTGTAAGGGAGCATAACCTAGAGTTGGGCTGGCCCAGGATCTAAACAGTTCTGGGCTTCTGCCACGATCTCTCATATCAGGCAATTAGCATATGAGTTATAGGGGAGGGACTCATATACCAAAGCATAGGAGAATTCTGATGTCTATGAAATTTAGGGAACTTAAAAAAATTTTTTTAGAAAAATTATCACAGGACAATAATGTCAAGAAAATTAAGAGCAACAAAAGTTATTTTTACTATTTCACTTACAGAAGCCAGACTGTGGCTGCCTATTCCAGATTTATATTGCTTATATATTGCTTATTATTTCAGACCACTAAACTCAAGCTCCCTCCACTGAGATTTGTTATTAACTAAGGTTTTTCCTTTTCGTTTCTTTTTCTTTTTTTTCTTTTTTTTTTTTTTTTGGTGGTACTGGGGCTTGAACTCAGGGCCTCACACTTGCTAGGCAGGTGCTCTACCACTTGAGCCACTCCACCAGCCTGAGTTCAAAGTGGTAGAGCACCTGCCTAGCAAGTGTGAGGCCCTGAGTTCAAACTGCAGTACTGCCCCCACCTCCACTGCCCCCCCAAAAAAAGAATTGCGCTCAGACTGGGTGCTGGTGGCTTTTACCTATAACCCTAGCTACTTGAGAGGCTGAGATTGGAAAGACTGCAGTAGGTCAGCTGGGTAAATAGTTTGCGATACCCCATCTCCAAAATAACCAGAGCCAAATGGACTGTGAATGTGGCTCAAGTGGTAGAACACCTGCTTTGTTTTGGTTTTTTTTTTTTTTTTTTTTTTTTTTTTGGGTTTTTTTTAGTTTGGTTTTTTTTTTTTTTACATTTTTATGAGCATTTATTTGTTGTACAGACGGGTTTCATCCTGACATCCACAATGTATGTAGATGCTTACATTGTATCTTAATTAGAGTCACACCCCCATCATTCTCCCTTATTTCCCCTGCCCCCTTTCTTCTAAGAAGCACATTTTCAACCGGTTTCTATGTTGTATCATGTATACAAAGTACATTGACCACATTCACCCTCTCCATTTACCTCTTCCTACTGGTATCTACCTGTTTTACCTCCCTATCCATTTTTTTTAAGTATATGGACAGCCTAGTTTTTTAAATGGGCAAAATATGTGAGTAGCTAGCAAGCCAAGGAAAGATGTTAAACATCATTAGCCACGTGAAAAGCCAACCCACAACAGGATACCTCTTCGCCTCACCAGAATAACCAGCATTTAAAAAAAAAAACACAAAAAACTATGTGGTAGTGAAGTTAGAACTTCTTCCTACAGCAGAATTTTGTCTCCTAAGCACCCTGAGATTAAGGGATATTTTTCTGCTTTCTATGTCTTCATTCTAACTCCTCAGCCCCCCATGCATTTTCAGAATTTTTATAATTAAGCATCATTTTAGCTACAATGTATCTCTACCTTTTTTAAATGTTTACTAAAGTAAAGAGCCTATCCTATATGTCCGCACAAGACCAAAGCACATCTTAATAGAAATATTCCATAGTCCTCTCCCATTCTGTCTTCAGGTCCTCCCTTTTAAGTTTTACCCCAAACATAAACATTCACTGCAAGCCTTTTCTATGTGAAGACATTAAACACACTGCTTCTGTATAATGAGAACACCTGCTTTGTAAGCACAAAGCCGAGTTCAAAACCCAGTCCTACCAAAAAAAAAAAAAAAAAAAAAAAGCTCGGCCTGGGGGAGTTACTTAAGCGGTAGAATAACCTGAATCCGATTCCCAGTATCACCACCAAAAAACAAAACAAAACAAACAAAAAATCAACATACCTAGAGAAGAAACAGAGGCAGGAGAATCACAAGTTTGAGGCCCATCTGGCCTACACAGCAAGTCCCAGATCAGCCTAAGCTTTATAGTAAAACCCTGTCTCCACAAAAAACTCAGCTTAAAAAAAAAATGTATTTTAACTTAATGATTTTTTTTTCCTAGAATGAGAAGATTTAGTTTTAATTTTAATTTTATTTTATTGTTTTTACATTTATTTACTTACACGTGTATACATTATTTGGGCCACCTCCCCACCCCCCAACTTAATGATTTCTTAAATGATCTCTGTCGGTTCCTCCTACCATATGACCTAAATGGGATTTTTCTTTCTTTTTTTTTATTTTGCAACACTTGGGTTTGAACTCAGGGAGTCATGCTTGCTAGGCAGGCAGTCTTACAGCTTGAACCACTCCACCAGCCTTTTTTTGTGTTGGGCCCCATCCCCTCACTCTACACAGGGTCTCCTACTAAACTATTTGTCCGAGGCTGACTTTGAACCAGAATCCTCCTGATCTCTGCCTCCTGCAAGGATTACAGGCATGAGTCACCAGTGCCCAGCTCTGATCAGACTTTGTTTTGTGCTTCTGTGTGTGACATTTGGGCCCTTCTGAGATACCAGTTGGTCCTCACAATCCTTGGAGGATTCACCATGCTTTCTTGCTGATCAGGCCTGTGAAGCAGGTTTTCTTTGGGAGAAAGTGCCAACTGTTAGAAAGTTCTGGAACTTCAGAGGCCTTGGAATCACAGCCTCTATTACTGCTCAACTGCAGGTCTTCCACAGTTACCAGTTCAGATTCAGTGAGTGCTTTGAGGGTCATAGAAGGTGATGGGGTTCTTCTCCATTTGCTCTCCAATATCCTGTATTCAATTCTGGTCAGCAAACAGGAGGAAAGACTGTTTAATGCCAGTGGTCCTGGGATTAGAAATTTAAGTGAAATGCCTGCCTTGTCCCATAAGATGCTGGAAGAATGTCAGTGTGTGTCTATCTATAGAGCAGTTTAGGTAGTTTTCTCTCAGATTCCGGCAGCTCTCTCCAGGTTCCCCTGGAGAGAGTCTGTTTGCATCCTTGAGTGGTTGTGCTTTAGCCGTGCTATTTCTGACCCTGGCATTCAAGTCTTCTGAAGTTGTTACGTTAACTGATGACTGGTTGGAGCCCAGTAAAGGTCAGAACCATGAGACTACCCGACCATGAGATGAATGCTCTCATGATGAAGGAAGTGACTGAAGTGGAAGGGGGAGGTTCTTGGGCTCCTGATCTAGGCTCCCTGATCATCTGTGCTTTTTTTCCCCTGTCTTCCTTTGCTCAAATCCCTATTCAGATTGACCTGTGTTGGAAATCATGGGTTTCAGAATAAAGATATATATCCTCATTCAAAAAATTGTTGAACTTCTGACAGACAACATTCTTCCTGTAATTCTTATACTGTGGCCTTGGACTAGTGTTATACTGCCAGGTGGAGTTGTCCTGGACACTGGGACACTGGTGCATTGAGTTCACAGCAGAACTCATTGTACTTCGTGGTCTTCCCTCACAGGCTAGGGCTTATGCAAGGGAGGCATGGGTGTTTCTGTAGGGGCTGTCCTTACAGGGCCACACACACATACCTGCACATGCCTTTGTGGTCCAAAGCAAGCCTCCCAGCTATCCCTTTGCACCAATGGTGCCTATTGTGATACTGAGAGCTGGCTGTGTCTGGGCTAAATTATTCATACTCAAGGGTAAAAGAGCTGAAAAATTAGTAAAAGCAAAATATAATTTTGCCTAGAAATAGTCTGAATGATACATAATTAAAAGGACATGAGAACAAGTCCCAGGATTGAGGAGGAGCTGCCTGGCTCAGTGCTCACAGGGTTCTTAGTGTAACCAAGAAACCTCCAAAGAATTCTTTTGGGCAAACAACCCCCCACACATCCTGCAGGTTGAATGCCATCAAGTAAGAAGTAGATTCTAAAAGGGTTAGACAGGCTCAGAAGGAGATGCAATAGGGACCTCATGTGTGCCTTGGGCTACTCCCTACTGCCTGCTGGGGTGTGGACCTGACTGCATGCCTGGCAGGGTGCCAGAACAGAGCTAGCTTCCCACATTTCTGTGGTGTGGAGTTTACTTCTAGGGGCTCATGCAGGTCTTCCATTGATCTCCTCCAAATTGGCCTCTACCCTGGTGTTTTCTGATGACTCCATGATAGCTGCAGCCAGCATTCTGCTACCTTGGTATCACTCCTGGTCCTTGTCTTTCCACAGAGCTACTTCCTCAGTCGTGCCCAGAGCCTGTGTGGCCCGGAGCCCAGCACTGTCCCTGACTCCCTGCGCTGGCTCTGCCACCCCTTAGGTCAGAAGTTTTTCATGGAGCGAAGCTGGTCAGTGAAGTCAGCAGCCAAGGAGAGTCTATACTGTGCCCAGAGGAACCCAGGTGAGAGCGCCTTCACCATTGCTTAGAATTGGAGATAGCCTTGGGAGCCACCCTTGCTGCAGGTTTCTGGGTACCAGACACAGAGATGCTTAAATCTATTCTTTTTAAAAACCAAGGCTCTGAGAGCCTAAAGAACTAGCCTGAGATCCCAATCCTGGTCAGACCCTATCTGTGGCTGAGTTGGGTTTACAGCTCTGTTCTCTTGTACAGTCAGAGCCTGGATCCTTACATCCAAATACCACACATGATAAGATGTGACTAAGCACCAACTGTATTCTTAGCCCTTGTTCTAGGCACTTTGGAGGCACAGAGGGTGTGTGGAGCTTGCTGTTTTCTGGCTTCTGGGCTTTCTGTTCCCATTGGGAAAGCAGAGAGACATATATGGAGCAGGGAAGGAACAATAGGCGGCAAGCAGTTGTCAAGTGCTCAGAGTGGTGACAGGGATGACAGAGCTTCAGGCGTTGAAAGGAAATTCAGGCTTCTGTCCCTGACATTTGATAGTGATTGGAGTTGACTTGCTCTGCCTTGGAGCAGTAGAGGCTGGTGCGGTAGACTCAGACCCTGAAAACAGTGGCTTTCTGCTTTGTGATGTGCTTTCCTCTCTGAATACAGAGTCTGCAGGCATGGGAGAGAGGGCTATCTTTTTTTTTTAATTACTCAATATAAGAACCAAAATGTGAAGGACAAAAGTAAAAACAATTCCAAGTCTTCCAACCCCGTTCCCACTGACAATTTGTCTACAGCATAGATGTGCCACAGACTTGTTGAACCTCTTGCAGTTCACAGGTGTGGATCTTGTCATATAGAAATTGTTCATAAATATCCCTGCTCTTCTTAGTCAGATGTCTTCCATATATGGGGAGGGAAAAGAGGCTGTTGATGCCATGATTGAGGCCTACTGTAAAGGGACTTGTTTGTGACAATCAGCTATTGCAAGTATTTAAGGGCCCCTTGTCTAGTCAACTCATCCAGAGCATCGCTAATCAAAGATTCCATGACAAAGCTCTGGAAAAGTAAAGGAGTGGGTTCTTCATTGTCAGGAGCTGTACAACAGTTACCACTTTGGCCTTTTTCTCCATAACTGGCTGTTCTCCTGAGCCACAAAAAGAAGAGACAGTCTTTGAGATGCAGTAGAGTCTGTCTTTCATTTTCTGTTTTCTGACAAGGGTTACAGTCATTTCCAATTTTGAAGTTGTGAGCACTATGCTGAAAGACACACACACACACACACACGACTGGGGGTGTCAACCCTCAGTCCAGCAGGGTGGTTCTGGGGTATTTGATCCTCATTACAGGGCACAGCTATTTCTTGGGTTCTTCTCATTATCTTTTCTTAATGAAGACAAAAATGTTCATAAGACCCATTTCTTTGGGGGGTTTTTTGTTTTGTTTTGTTTTTTAACCCTTCTCCTTGTCTTTCTGATCTTCAGCCGATCCCATTGCCCAGGTCCACCAGGCCTTCTGCAAGAACCTGCTGGAGCGAGCTGTGGAGTCCTTAGTGAAACCTCAGGTCAAGAAGAAGGCAGGGGACCAGGAAGAAGAAAGCTGGTAAGATCCCCAGGCCACCCCTCTCCCTTGGGGCTGGTCCGCCCAGGCAGCACTCCTGAATCAAAATAGCCCTGGCATCAGGTCAGCCAGGAAACAGAATGATTTCTTTGTGTTTATTTCTCAAAAATAGAACTCTAACTTAGACCCAGAACATCCCTTTTCCCCCCTTTTCCTATTCCCTTAACCAGATGGATCCAATTGTTGGCACAAATTAGGAATTTGATTAGTTTGCTTTGCTTTTGGGGTTAGAGACAAGTGGGGCCTATTGAGAAGGGATAGGAATAGGATACAGAGAGCTCAGCAGAAGACAGAACTTTGGTTGGAAGATCTTGGAAACCTAGCCCTTCCATAGGCATGCAGTTTTTGTTTTGAGGGGTTGGAAGTTATTTGTTCAGAAAGGATCTTATTGACATAGCTCAGACAGACTGGCTTTGAACTTGGGATTCTTCTGCCTCAGCCTCCCAAGTACTGGGATTACAGGCATGTGCCACCATACCTAGAAGAGTGTGTTTCTGATTTTGTTTCTGTTTTTGTTTTAACTCTTTACATAGTTACTGATTATAGCCTTTCCTTAACCAAATAAGACCTGAGAAGCAGAGAGGTGTGAAAGTCACTCGTACAGAGCCCAGATCCTGACTGGAGTTCACCTGCGGGAGGGAGGAGGTTCTGCCTGAGCAATAGAAAACTTGACACTGGAAATGGGCCTGGAGGAGAGGGAGGAAAGAGAGAGGCTGGCCCTCCTGGTAGAATGAGGAGTGTCAATGACAGCCCCAAACACTTGACAAAGGCTGGCCTGTGGAATGTATTTTGTAGAGTGTGCCTGGGCAAAGCTGGGAATGCCTGGGGATATTGGGGAGAAAGGACCAAAAAGGACTATTGAGTCTTAGAGCTGGCAAGCTAAACACCTAGGCCATCAGTGTGGCCTTTCTTTACATTTTTGTGAATGCAAAACTTTTCCTTCTAGTGAATTCTCCAGTGCTCTAGAGTACCTGAAATTACTTCATTCTTTCGTGGACTCTGTGGGATTTGTGACCCCACCATTCTCCAGCAGTTCGGTGCTCAAGTCAACCCTCGGTGAGAATCCACAGTCCAGAGGTGTTCAGTTCTTTCCAGCCTTCCTTTCTGGGTCCAGGGTTAATCATGAGTGTGTACTAAAGCATCTTCTCTGGCCTCAGATTTGTATCTAAGGTCTCCAGGTAGTCCCAACCTACAGTTACTCTTACTGGGAAGCATTCTGAGGATAAGAAATAATCGTCTTCATACAAGTGGGATAGTGAGTGAGTGAATATCCTCCATAGGCTGTGGTTGGGTTCCCAAATGCCAAGAACAGGCAACAACTGGTCCATGTACCTGAGGTGTGGGGACTCACTTTTCAGGTGCAGAGTGGCCTCCTGAGATTGGGTCTTATACTCCCTGATGAGCCTTCCATTTGGCTGGGTCACTGTCCTGCCTCAGGTGTCATAACACAACTAAATGTCTAGGACATTCTTTGCTTCTCTCCCTAAACTGCCATCAGGGTGACGGCACATCAGCTACTACCTCTCCAGGTTCTGAGGCCATTGGAAAATATGGGTGCCAAGCTGCCCTCTGCCCACTCTCCCTAAAGAGGGAAGGATTCCAGAAAAGCAGCCACCCAAATTTACTTTAGGGTTTAGAAGAGCACATGTTCCATACCTTTTCTCTTATAGGACCATCCCCACTGGTTTTGTGAGATCACTGGTATATTTTGCATTTAAGAAAACTGGCTCAAAGAAGAAGAACCTTAAATATTCTAAAATCAGCTGTTACTACAAACACTTTGAAGACACCAGCCTTTTTCTCGGGGGAGGGGACTGGGGTTTGAAATCGGCTTCACACTTGCAAAAGCAAGGACCGTACTGCTTGAACTACACTTCCAGTCCATTTTGCTCTGGATATTTTAGAGATGGGGTCTTGCAAACTATTTACCCAGGCTGGCCTTGAGCCGGAATCCTGCAGATCTCAGGCCTTCTATGTAGCTAGGATTACAGGTATGAGCCACTAATGCCCAGCTGCTTTGGTTAATTTTTAAATAGGGTCTTACTTTATGCCCAGGCTGGTCTGGACCATGATCCTGCTATTTGTGCTTCCCCATGTAGCTGGGATGACAAGATATGCCATCACACCCAGCTTTTATTGGTTGAGATGGAGTCTTGCAAACTTTTTGCCCAGGCTGGCCTTGAACAGCAATCCTCCTGATCTCTGCCTCCCAAGTAGCCATAATTATTACAGGCTTGAGCCACTGTACCTGGCATATGGTGATCATTTTTACTAAACTTCTCTATGAAAGCCAGTTGCATTATAATAGAATACCAAAAATGGGATTACTAGGTTAATAGGAGTGAACAATTTTAAGGCTCTTGATATATACTGCCAGACTTTTTTTTTAAGATTTTGGTAGTCGGTGCTCCCACCAGAATTGTGTAAGCAGGCAACCCTACTTGTTGCCAGAAGGCAAAGATGCCATGTAGAAACAGGTGCAGCAGTAACCTAGCTCAACAAAGCTGGTTCCTCTGGGTATTGAAGTATGTTTGCTGCTGTTCCCTCTAGGTCCAGACATCATCTGTCGGTGGTGGACATCTGCAATCACTATGGCCATCAGCTGGCTCCGGGGAGACGATGCAGCCGTGCACTCTCATTTCGCTGAAGTTGAGCATATCCCCAAGGCCTTGGAAGTGACTGAGTGCGTAAGCCTCCTTGGCCACTCACCGGCTTCTCTCCAGGGGGATCTTACATGAGCAGGAGAGGGAGCAGGTCTGGGTGGCAATGTTGGGGTGAAGAGTCAGGTCTATATGATAGATGGGAGCTATCATAGTAGAGAAAGCAGAGGACACTATGGAGAGGTGAGCTAGGTCAGCACAGTCCACTATGCAAGTGTGCTCTGCCCAGCTCCACAGCTATCCCAGCACCTGTCAGTATGGATGTCGGAACCTCCTCCCTGCAGCCTCCTTGCTGCTACAGGCTACAGAAGAGATGAGAGCAGTATGGCTTTCAAAAAATCAGAAGCTTGGCCAGGTGCCAGTGGCTCACGCCTGTGATCCTAGCTACCCAGGAGGCAGAGATCAGGAGGATTGCAGTTTGAAGCCCACCCAGGCAAATAGTCCACTAGACCCTATCTCAAAAAAACACATTACAAAAAAGGGCTAGTGGAGTGGCTCAAGGTATGTAGGCCCTGAGTTCAAGTCCCAGAACCACATTTAAAAAAACAAACCAGAAGCCTCATGGTAGAGGCAGCAATGCAGTATGGCTGTGGCCACTACAGTTGGAAGCCAGCATTTCCCTGAAGCTTGTGCAGGCTTTGACATTGTTTCCAGGCATCTTTCAGCCACCCTCCACTGTCTATTATCCCTGTGAGTCTTCTTTTATATAAAAGGGCCTGTAGCCCAACCAAAGAGCTTTTGATTTTCCTCCTTGAGATTCATGTTTGCACCTTGGGGGCATTGAGTTCTTAGTGATGGGCAGCCCTGCCTGCTGACACCCTGGCTATTTCTACTTATATCTGAGTGTTATAAAATGCTGCAAAGTTGAAAGGCCTCAAGGGTTCCTGTCTTGTGAGCCAAAACCAGCACATTTCCTGCCAAGCAGACACTTCACTGGGAACCTAGGAGGGAACTGAGAAAATTGGGAGTGAGCAGGTTTGAGCCCTGTGTTCCCTAGGTCTTCCCAGTTTTCATATTGTTAGCACCATTTTTAAGCCCTCTGGCAAGTTAGCACCCAGCCCTGCACCAGCCCTGCATTAGCACTCCCACTGAAGTGTCTCCCACTGGCGCAACCTCAGTAAACTGAGGCTTAGCAAATAGGTTGTCTGACGTCATTTTACTTCTAAGCTGCAGAGCCACAGCCAACAGCTAAGATACCATAGCGGCCATACCTACCCCCTGGATGCAGTTACTCCTGGCTTCCTTTGCACTTCAGGAAGTGTTGGGGTGGGAACCCTCTCCAATCCAACCTCTCCACCTGTAACCTCTCCCCAATCTGCCAGGTTTCTCCAGAACTTTAACACTAGACTTTTGGAGGAATGGGCCTTAGAGAACAGGTACAAATAATAGGGCAATGTTAGTCAGCTCCTGTTGCTGGGACAGAATACCAAGAAAAACAATTTAGAGGCTGAAAGGTTTATTTTGACTTACTCTGAGATTTCAGCCCATGTTCACTCAGGTTTGTTGATTCTGGGCGGTGGCATGATAGGACTTCATGGCAGGGAGCATGCTTTATGGTAGTCAGAAAGCAGAGAGAGGAAGAGAGCAAGAAGGATCTTGGGAAAAGATAGCACCCTTCAAAGGCACACCGCCTGTGACGTACTTCCTCCAACCAGGCCCCCATCTTCTAGTTTCCTTTAACTCCCAATAATGCCATCAGATTATGACTCCATCAGTGGATTAATCCATCAATTAGATCAGAGCCTTCATAATCCAATCACTTTAGATCCAGTTCAAAGCCCCACTTCTGAACACTGCATTGGAGAACAAGCCTTCAACACGTGAGGAGGACATTTCTTATCCAGACCACAAAAAGGGCCAACACCTTATGTGACCATAGGAATGGGCAAATAGTATTGTGGCTTCTTTATAGAACAGGAAACTGAGGTATAGATTATTTGAATTCCCATCTTCGGTGGCAGGCCTGTTGGTTATGCCTGGGTTTCTGGGCCCCTCCACCCACAAATGAAGGAGGAGGCTGAACTAGTTCAGGACCAGCATTTCAGATCTGGGGCTGGCTACCAGAAACCAACATGGCAGCATTGCAATGAGACCCATGTGTCTCATAGACGTGGGGTGTAGGGAATCACCATCTCAGGCTCTTCTGCCAGTTACCCAGATGTCATGCTCTGACCTGCCTCTCCACCTCCCTATCACTACTGCAGGAGCCCCCTGGTAAAGGCCATCTTCCATGCCTGCAGAGCCATGCATGCCTCACTCTCTGGGAAAGCAGATGGGCAACAGAATTCCTTCTGTCATTGTGAGAGGGCCAGCGGCCACTTGTGGAGTAGCCTCAACGTCAGCGAGGCCACCTCTGACCCTGCCCTCAACCACGTGAGTGAGAACTTAGCCGGCCCTGCAGAGAGGTGCTCGGCTCTGGTCTATAAGAGCACTTTCACCCATTTCAAACTTACCCAGCCTTGTGGGATGTCTTAAGAGACAGAAAAAGCACACTGGCACCCTCCTTTCCCAAAATGTGGTCTGTTGGTGTAGGTAGATGCCCTTTTTAGTCCTGGGAATGAGCATGTTTGCACCTGCACCTTGGCTCCTTGAGCCCAGATCCCATTGGCCAATGGCTCCCTATAAGCCCCAGGTGAACGACAGCTGGCCAGTGTTCTGCATTTGTGCAGGCAGTTTGCACAACTCTCTGCAGGCCAGCCTTTTGGTAGCCCCCTACCCTCAGGCACACATACCCTGAGCCATCTGACTGCCCTGGCACCTCCATGGCCAGCCACACACTTCCTGGTGGGTAGCTGTGGTGCATTGTAGTTGCATTGCATGTTCTGGCAGTACCCGTGCAATGTTTCCACAGTGCATCACAGAGGCCTGCCCAGCCCTCGAGAGACTTCCCACCATGCTCTGACCCCAAGCCCCATCACTTGGGGAGTGCAGCAGCTGGTTGTGAACCATCAGCTGCTCCCTTGGGAAACGTGGTGCAACTCCAGAGAGAGTGCAAAAGGAGCATCCGGAAGGTTAGACTCTGAGCTGCTCACTGAAGTTTGGTCCCAGATGGCTGGGCTGGCATTCCAAAGTAGAGGTTATCATTGAGCCTGGGCACTCGGGTGAAGCCAGGATAATGCATCAGCCCTACAGGGCCAGACATTATACAGAAAGAGCTAAAGACCAAAGGTAGGCTAGGAAGCTACTGTTGGGCTCTCCTGGTATGTTTCTCAGCTCAGTTGGGGGGAGGTTTATGGCCACCTTTGGGACTGAAGTTCTTGATAGCAGCTCTGAGGTAGAAGAATGAACCCAGAAGAGCCTAGTGGCCTAAGACCAGAATCCAGCCCAGGCCTTCTGCCTCTGGGTCCAGAGATGCTTCCTTAGAACCCATGCCTTAGATGTGGCAGCTTTTCTTTCAGGACAGTGATCCTCATCCATGTCCCCTTGAGGCTGTCAGCAGCAAGAAAGAAGACAGTGTGGCCAAGAGCCAGGGCCTCATGCAGGCAAGGTTTGGGCAAGACAGTGACCCCAGGTCCAGTGCATGGGGCAAAATGAAAGCGAGGGCTGGGTGAGATGAGAAGTGACCTGGGGGATGTCCATATGAACCTGAGGGCTGCTTGTGTCCCATCTCAAAGAGGACTCACTGTCTCCTCTTTGTTCCACATGCTATAATGGACTGTCAGAAATTCAGGCAGGCAGCCCAGTTAAGTCTCATATAATGCTCACAATAGCCCTGGTTTGCTAGGTACCAGTGGTTCATACCTGTAATCCTAGCTACTTAGTAGGCTGAGACCAGAAGGATTGTTGTTCCAGGCCAGCTTAGGCAACTAGTTCACAAGACCCCCATCTCCAAAATAACCAGAGCTCAAGCAGTAGAGTGCCTGCTTTACAAGCATGAAGCCCTGAGTTCAAACCCAGTCCCATTAAAAAAAACAAAACAGCCCTGGGTTGCCATTTCCATCTGTGGATAAGGAAACTGAAGCTTAGAGAGGTTAAGTCATGTGCCAGAGTCATGTAGCTAATAAATGGGAATCCAGAGCAGTCAAACATCAAAGCCTTAAACCACCATGTGATTCTGCTTTCATGCACACCTGTCTCCTCTCCCCTTCTTCCTTCCACTACCCCTTACATCTAGGCTCTGCTGCCACTTCAGACCGACCTTCAGTTGCTCTGAGGAGGAAGGCCTTGGTGCCTTTAGGCATCTCAGCTTCCAGGCCAGCCATGGGGGTTCCCATGAAGTGGGAGAACCAAGGCTTTGAGACCCAAAAGGGTTTTATTCCTGTCCCTGCCTATGATGTGTACCCTACACAAGCTGCTGCTCTTTCAGAGCCTCCCCTTTCTCATCTGTAGAATGGTAGGCCATGGAAAGGATTGGTGCCCTCATCAGCCATTCTTTCAGTACCAGGCTCAGGGTTCTGCACATCCCCCTAGAGCTGCTGAGTGTTAGGATAAGGGAGTGCCTGGTAGGTACTAAGATCCATGCCTTAGGCATAGGCCAGTCACCTGTCGCTTCCCTTTTGACTCACCCGACAGGTGGTCCAGCTGCTTACCTGTGACCTGCTTCTGTCACTGCGGACAGCACTCTGGCAAAAGCAGGCAGGCATCAGCCAGGCCCTGGGCGAGACCTACCATGCATCGGGCACTGAGCTGGCTGGCTTCCAGCGGGACCTAGGCAGCCTACGCAGGTTGGCACACAGCTTCCGCCCAGCATATCGCAAGGTGAGACCAAGTGGACTGGTAGGAATACGCAGATTGGGGTCTGTAGGGCTTGAGCCCAAGAACCCAGCACACACATGTGGTTGTGGAGCTGACTCTGAAGTCAGCCAAATGACCTATCAGGCACCTGCTCAGGCCCAGCACTAAGTTGGGTGCCACATGTTCCTTTGTGCACATTGAATACCTGCTGTGTGCCCAGCCCTGGAGTATAGCAGGGAGCAGCCATACTCTGCCCCTCAACAGGGGCCAGGCCAAAATCACACCTCACCATTCAGACCCTGAATGGGAAAGCTCAGAGAGCAGGGGAGCCAGTTAGGCATTGTCCTGACCATGAGGGAACTACTTTGACTTTCATGACTGGTATCGGTGGACGGAATCTCCATTGAACAACTTTAAAGAGGAATTCACTTTAGTTCTTTTTCTGAGTCATTTGAGGGATTCAGCTTTCTCGACATAAAAATCCCCTTGGTGCTGGCTACAAGATCTGAGATAAATGTCTAAGGACAGTTGTGTGACTGAACCTGCTGGACTAATCATTTCCTTATTTATTTTTATTGCTAATTAGAATAACACACTAGACATATTTATTGACGTTATTGTTTGAAATAAGGTCTTGATTTGTTACCCAGGCTATCCTGGAACTCCTGGGCTCAAGCAGTCCTCTTGCCTCAAACTCCTAAGTAGCTTGGACTACAGGTGTGCACCACCACGCCTGACCTGTATTAAACATCTTTAAACTATATTTTTATGTTTATTTGATGCATAATAATTATATACATTTATAGGTTCTACTGTGACACTTCAGTACATGTATATTACATGTAATGGTCATGATTGCCAAATCTTTCACCTCAAAGATTTGTCATTTCTTTGTGTTGGGATCAACTTTTTTTTAATGCCTCCAGAGTAGCTAGCATTATAAGCATGAGCCATGCATCTAGCTGGATCAACATATCGTTACCTGAATTATTTTCCAAACATCTGAGTGAGGAAATCCATATTGTCAGGGAGGGGAGTAGGCTATGTTGAAAGGGCACAAAAAAAGGTCTCAATGAGGTTGCTGCTGTGGAGACATAACCCCTCACCCTAACGTACAGGGACACCCTCACAAGGTCACAATGGCCACTGTGTACAGCAAGCCAACACAGATACAGGAGAAAAATACAATCATCAGAGAACCAGCCCTAACGGTAGAAAAGAAAAGTGTGCCTCAAGGTTTGGGCTGCACCCCTGCCTTGTGGGACTCACTGTGGCTGGACCAGCATCAAAGACCTCCTCTAGACAGGCACCAGTGGCTCATGCCTGTAATCTTAGCTACTCAGGAGGCAGAGATCAGGAATACTGTGGTTCAAATCCAGCCCAGGCAAATAGTTCATGAGACCCTATCTCAAAAAAAACCCATCACAAAAAAAAAAAAAAAGATTAGTGGAGTGGAGTGGCTCAAGGTATAGGCCCTGAGTTCAAGCTCTAGTACCACAAAAAAGAAAAAAATTACAGATGTAGCTACTCTGGAGGCTGAGGCCGAAGTCCAAGTTCAAGACAAGCAAGACCCTGTCTCAAAATAAAAATAAAAAACAGCTGAGGAGTCAGATGTAGTTGTGTATACCTACAATCCCAGCTACATAGGAGACTTAGGACGTGTGCAGTCCTAGAACTAAAGCAAAAAGACTGGGGGATATGGCTTAAGTGGTAGACCACTTGCCTAGGAAGTACATACTGATTCAAACCCCAGGACCCTCACCCCAGAAAAATAAAATTAGAGGCCTAGACCTCCACCCCACAGTGATTTCTATTTACCTAATTGCTGCTGACTTATACCTGGAAATCTCTAGACTTTATTCTTTTCTGAAGAAACAGAAGGAAACAAGACACTGAACTTGATACCAGCATAGCCATCCCCACTCATCCCTCTGTTTCTACCTTCCCTGTCCTTTTGTCAGCCTGGAGGCAGCCTTCAGGGACTTGAGTCTTTACCCAGACTGCTTATCTTCCTACCCTGGAGGATGTGTCAGAGCTCTGTCATCAGTGGAGGAAAGCAGCCTTTTGCCCTCCACTAGCTGACCTGGTCTTTGTTCCCCTTTCCCTTCGCTTCTCCAGGTTTCTAGCTTAGCCCGAGAACAAGAGAGGTTGCTTATTAGAGGTGAAAAAGGCAGGGTAGCATGGAGAGGAGAGGGAGGCATCAGGTAGCAGATGAGGTGGCTTAGGGAGAGGTACTCACTGGGGCCTAGACAAGCAAGGACCAAAGGTTTGACTGTGTCCCATTATACCTACACAGGTGTTCCTGCATGAAGCCACTGTGCGCCTGATGGCAGGAGCTAGCCCTACCCGAACCCACCAGCTGCTGGAGCACAGCCTGAGGCGGCGAACCACTCAGAACACCAAAAACGGTGAGTCTAGTAGCTTCCCAGCTCCCCTGCCTAAAGGCCTGGTGTGGCCCTGCCCAGCCCTGACATCTGGCAGCGTGAGCTCCTGCATACCTCTTGCCTCTTTCAGCTATTGTGGTAGGGTGGGAATGGAAGGAGCCAAGACTTGATTTGGTGAGCTGAGGGGTTGGGCATTAGCTTTGAAGCCAGGAAGGTGGTGCCTTTGCCGTGTACCTCTGGATCTGGCCACAGGCAGAAGGCAGAAAGGAGATGGGAATGTAGACCTAAGAGGCACAAGTCATGAGTACCACCTGTGAGTTTATCCTCTGTGCCCCAGGCATACCTAGGGAGTCACTGGTCCACCCATGTGGGAGGTGGGCTGAGGATGGCATCCCAGTGCATGAAAAGGAACAAAAGACCACATGAGTTCAAATATCTGCCCTGCCACACTAGCTGTGCAACAACCAGCCAAGTTTATAACCTGTCCTGTGAATTTGGGAGGGCCTGCAAACTAGGGAGGACAACAGAACCTACCTCAATAGTAAGTGTGTGGCTTAAATAAGTGAGGCTACATAAAGCCCTTGGAATATCATTTATATGTATCTTATTCCCACAGGAGAAGTGGACGCCTGGCCTGGCCAGCGAGAGCGGGCCACCGCCATCCTGCTGGCCTGCCGCCACCTTCCCCTCTCCTTCCTCTCCTCCCCAGGCCAGCGGGCAGTGCTGCTGGCCGAGGCTGCTCGCACCCTGGAGAAGGTGGGCGATCGGCGCTCCTGCAATGACTGCCAGCAGATGATTGTGAAGCTGGGTGGGGGCACTGCCATCGCCGCCTCCTGACCACTGGGCTCAGCCCACCTCCCTCCACCTTTGTCTCTCAGTCTTTATCCCAGGACCCTCCTCTGTCTCCCTTTTCCATCTTAGTTTTTCTTCCTCCTCTCTGAGAGCTATGGTGGTGAGGATGAGCCTTGTCTTCTGAGCTGTCCCTGCAAAGGCTTTTGGACCACTTCTGGCCAGCGGGCCCCCTAAGCAAAGCCCCTTAATGCTGATGTCAGTTGGTGCCCATGGTCCAGGCCCTAATAGGCTGAGGAAAGGCAAGGGGATGGGAGTGAGGGAGATCTCCCTTGAAAGCAGGCAGTCCTCTAGAGGCGTTCTAAACATCTCCCTTTTCTGCTTCCTATTTTTTACCATGCTTTCTCTCTCTGGGCAACCAAGTCTCTGGGCACCAGAGAGCACTTCGCCCTCTGGATTTATCCAGCATTTCCCTCCCGTTTTTATATGGATGTTTTTATATACATATGCTTGGGTTTGCCGTGATGCAGGGCAAAGTTGCTGTGGCATCTTTTTTTCTCTCCTGGGTCTGCATTCCCTCCCCTGTGCCTGACTAAGCCAGTTCTTTGTTTTCTCGTCATTACAAAGCCAGGGGAGGAGGGGGAGCACAGCCCTGGAGAGGCAGGTGCAGGCCTAGGAGTGGATGAAATAATGTTGGCATTATTTTTTAATTTTTTAAAAAATAAATGGTATCTTATTTAATTGTCCTGTTCCTTCCCATTCCCCCACCCCCTGGGATGTCACCCCCAAGCTCAGGGTAGGTAGGGAGCTGGGCAGGATGAAGCCACCCATTTGGCCTGGGGACCAGGGGGGTCTTCAGCATGGTTTTTCAGTTCCCTCCTGCTCTCACCCTAACTCCTACCTCCAAAGCATATTTTCATCCCTAATTTTTGTCCTGTAAATAAGCCAGGGTGGCAAGGGCTAATCCCAAGCCCTCTTTAGCCACAAGCCCCTCTTTTCAGGGTGGGCAGCAGGAACCAGGTCCCTTGCTTTGAGGGGGTTCCTAGGAGGAAAAGTGGGTCTCCTGAGAGACTGAAAGGGACCCTCCCTTAGTGTGCTTCTCACCCTTTCAAAACTGGTTGGGGCAGAGGGTCTGTGGGAGCCCAGTACAGACTAGGGAGTGCACATAGCAGGGGTCCCTCCCTATGCTTGGACTCTACCTAACTTCTGTCTCCTGCCCTTCCCCACTATCACTGTAATTTATGAATCCTGCCCACAAGGCAGCCCAGCCCTTGTGTCGTGTGTGTATATACTGTGCCTTTTTTCCTTGTTGTTCAGGGGTGGGAGGGGTGGTTTTTCACTGAAAAGAGGGATACACCTATGGCTTCCTTGATGTTGAATCGTTCACTATGTCCTGGTCATAGGTCATTCAATAAACAGATTGGTACCACCCAGCACAAGGTGTATGAGGGTCTGGAGCGTGACCAGTGGAGTGACTACCCAAGTGGCTGTATGAGTTGGTTGGCAGTGGGCTGCAAATTGAGGGCAGCTGGGTAACTTCAGTCTAATGGGCCTTCCTTGCCCACCTGTGTGAATGGTACACACTCCAGGGATGGGTGAGGGCCTGTGACAAAAGGGCTGTTGGTGGTGCTGCTGAAATCAAAGGTCACGGGACTGGAGGAGTGGCTCAGGTAGTACAGTACCTGCCTCGCAAACACAAGGCCCTGAGTTCAAACCCCAGTACTGCATAAAAATAAATACAGCTTGTCTTGAAATCAAAGGTCACTATACCCACATTCCAATTTAGTCCCTGGATGTACAGCTGGCAGGATGGCTGACAACAGCAGTTCTTTGGGATTTGGGGTGTTAGGTGTCTCCACTGGGTGAGCTGCCCCTTAGTTTCGTCTTCCCTGCAGTTTGTGCCCCTCAGAGGGCACTCACTGCCCTGATAACCAGAGCCAAGCCTACCTCCTGTACTTCAGAGCTGGGGTCACTTGGTGGGAACTGACCTCTTCTGTACTTCTACATATGCAGAATGGGGGTGGGGTTTTTAATCCCTGTCTTTGACTAGTTCCATAGGCTCGAAGGCCAGGTTTGAAGGACATTAACACACATGAAGTGCCAGTGTATGGTAAGTGTTTTGTGAGCTGGAGAGGCCAGGGGACACGCCCACACAGAGGAGTTGGGATGGGTGTGTTGGACCCTTGCAGAGTGGAAGTCAGGTATGCTATGTAGAAATGAGCCCGGGACTGAATTGCCCAGTCCATGGCTAGGTCCTGCTCACCTAGCCATGAAATAGCTCTGAGCCACACCCCTTCCTGATGGCCAGTCATTACAGGCCACATTGTCCCAAAGGACAGACTAGCCAGGAGATGTACCAAGTTGTGTGACAGTCACATCAGCATTTTCAGTAATGGTCACTGCACTTAGCCTCAGTCTAGCTCCAGTGGGGGTCCAGAGCTCTTGGGACTGAGAATGAACGTAAGGATTGTGCCCACCTCCCAACCCAGCCTGTGTCACCATGGTGGGTGGCTTATGTGCCCAGGAGCCCCATCCTTTTGTGCTTCTCAGCAAGCTCCAAGCTCCATGACTCAGCACCTGTCCCGTGTCGTCCCCCCCCCCGCCCACACCCTACACAGCTGTGCAACAGGGACAGAGCGCCTGCCTCAGTCCCAAGCTAAGGGCAGGAGGGCGCGCTTCCCTCCAAGCCATGGAGACCCTGGCTCCCTGCAGGACTGTGAGCTCTGGGCTCTGTCTTAGAGCATTTAAGCCCCAGTTTTCTCAACACCTGAAAAGGACAGGGAGATGGGCCCTTCAGAATGTGAGGGATTGATACTAGGCTGAGTGGGTTTGCCCCCTCAGGAAAGCCCAACCAGTAAGAGCAAAAAGGCCCAAGGCTGCCCATACTGAGAGCAGATGCCCGTCCCCTCCAATGCATCCCCAACTCCCGTTCCCTTACATTTGCCTTCAAGAGCCTTTCCACCAGCAGATCCAAAGTCCTCACCCTGGAGTCAGCCCAGTAACCCTGGACAAGTTACTTAGGTCCCAAGACCTCAGTTTCTTATCTATAAAGGCACACCCCATGGGGCTCTTGTGAGGGCTAAATGACAAACAGCAACAAAAGGCAGCCATTGTAAACAGTTTCCGGTTCACCTTGGAACACAGGAGGAAAACACCCAACTTGACACACACCTCAACTGGCTATAGCTCAGTCTACCCTCAGACACACCAGTACCTGGAACAGAGGAACTTGGGAAAGATGCACACAGGTTACTCACAGTGCCCTGGGGCCACAACCAAGTACTAGGAGCCTTCCTGGCAGGAAAGGGGAGAGCTAGCAGTGCCAAGCATGTGCGCTGTGAGCCCCAGGAGGGAGGGGGCTCTGCTAGGCTCCTGCTCCAGCATCTCCATCCCTCTTACCCAGAGCTGCTCCTGGGAGGAGGCTCCTCTATCCTGAGCACCAGATGTCCTCATGGCCCACACTCATTAGGGGGGTGGCCCTGGGCCAATGTGGCCAAACAGCCTGCGCGCTGGTGGCTGGCCCAGGGCCAGACTGTCAGTAAGGATCTGCCAGCTCAAGCTGTACAGTGGGTGTCTAGTCAAGGGGCTCACTTCCAAGAGGGCATGCACCCCTCCCCTTGGGAGAGAGGCCCTCTCTCCTGTGCCCATACCTCCAAATGGCTGAGGTCTAGTTGCATCCTTCCCATGGCTCCTACTGGTGAGAGCATTAAGCCTGATATTCAACCCTGGCCGCCCTCTCCAGCCACTTCTCCCTGGTCCCCAGCCGGCCGCGATCCTCAGCTCTTACCCATACTGTGTCCTCTGCCCGCACTAGCGTCTGTCCAGTCAGTGACTGATGCAACCATCAGTACCTCTCCGGGCAGGAACCACATTACAGGGTTTATTTACGCACAGTACCCTAGCCCTGCCACCCCACTGGCTACTACGCGGGCCCTTTAACCCTGCGGGCTCCATGGCCCCCAGTCCAGTCTGCGCGGGACTTCTGCTCTTTGGGTCTGGGGCTCGAGACCGAGAGTCCTCCGGGTGAGGAATGCGGACCTGTTTCAAACGGTGACCTCGGCTTTGCTATTGGTGCTCAGGTGCCGGGGTCCGCGACCCGCGCTGCCATAAAGACTGGGGGGCTGCGCGCTGAACACCTCAGGGAGCTTCTCCACACTGAACTGGCGCCTGGGCGCGTGGCCAGGCCGCCGGGGCGCCGGGGAGACCGGAGCCGCCAAGTGGCCGCGGGGGACAGGTCGGGCTGGACCGCCGGCTGTCCAGGCAGCGTAGGGGCCCGACAGGGCAGGGCCAGCAGGGGGCGCGTAGCTCGGCGGGGCCCAGGGACAGGCGTCGAGCAGCGCAGGCAAGTCCTCGGGAGGCCGCGGAGCCCGTGCCGGGAGGGTCCGCAGGGTCGGCTCGGTGGCGGGAAAGCGCTGGTAGAAGTCCTGGGGGGCAGCCTCTGTGGGGACAGCGCGGGGAGGGTTAAGTCTCGAGAGGCCGGACCTCGATGCCCCGAACACCCGCCGCAGTAAGGGGTGGCGGGTCACAGCGGGGTCAGAGTGAGGCCGAGGGGGCAGCCGATTGGCTGCGTGGGGGCGGCCCGAGCGCGGATTGGCCGATCTGGGCGGGCGTGGGAACTGCGGGACTCCGCACCCGGACCTGAGCTTTGCGGTTCAGGAACGCGGATATCCGGGCCACTGGCGCCGGCCGCCCTCACCAGGCCTTAACTCACCTGCGGCCTTGAGCGTGGCTGCTTTGAGGGTGGTGAACTTGGCGTAGTCGGGCTGCAAGGTCATGCTGCCACCGCCCTGCAGCCGGGAGCCACGCGGGGGTCCTGGGGTAGCGGACCCCAGGGGCGCGTTGTTGAGGCGTTTCTTGTCTGGAAGGGAGAGAGGGGAGTAAGGCGAAGACGTGGTGCGCTGACCCTGTACCTCCGCGTGCTCCACTGCCTCTTCCCAGCCCCCTCTCCAGCTCAGTGGGAACTTGGGCGATGTTATCTGGATGAAACAGAGCAGGACCCGGCAGAATGTCCAGGGTCTGGCTCAGAAAACCATGAACAATGGCAGCCAGCCCTGAGGGGTACTCCCCTAATGGATGGTTGGCCAGCACGTTAGGCCTAATCCAGAACTGAGTCCCAGAACCTGCTCCCCGCAGAGATGGGAGATGTCTGAGCAACAGAACCCAGGTAAGGGCGTAGGGGGAGCTGCTTCCCCCGCAAGAGACCAGAGGACAGCTCCAGATCCCACAGCCTCCGAACCACAGTCCTAGTCAGCAAATCCTGAATCTGGACCCTTCCTCATAGAATCATAGCCTCTGAGACTCTAGGCTGCAGGAGGGTCGCTCTCCACCAAAGACAGCTGACCAGCTTGTCCCGCCCCCACTCACAACTACAGAGGCAGAAACAGCAGCTCAGAGCCTCCTCTCTGCAGACAAGCACCCAACTCCTACCGCTCCGTTTACCTTTTCCCAGGCTCTGCTGTAAATGAACCAATGCCCACCTGCAGCCTACTCACCTGTGCTGTTGTGAGGAGATCCCCGGGGGAGGCCATCACTCATTTGCACCTGGACACAGCTACCTAGGGGCGGGCCCAGAGGTGGAGGCAGTGGCTCCTGGGGGCCTGGCTGCTTCAGCAGTTCTGTCAGCGTCCTGGGGGAACAGAGTGGTGGAGAGCAGACCTCTCAGCCTCCTGCCTGCCCATCAGCCAGATTCTGGTCTATCAAAGACTAGTCTCAGCCATCACTGTCTCACTATGTGGGTCCGGGCAGTTCTTTCAATCCCTCTCTCGGCTTTCTGCTCTAATATTTGACCACACACAGAGGTTCCCCTACAAGGCCTGGCCCTGTCATCCCCAAATGGCCAACTGAAGGAGCAGGTCAGGAAACTGATGGAGTGAAATGTAACCAGGACTACCTGGTTTTCCAGAGGCTACTGTCTGGGTTCGCTGTCCAGGACGCTCCCCAGTTGAACTGCCTGTCCTAACACGGGCTTCCTGGTCTACAATATCCATTTCTCAACCTCCTCCCATAAGCCTCCTATCCATTCGTCAAACCCCTCAGGGAGTCCCTCCTCCTCGGGAGGCCTCCCTTACCTGTCTTCAGTGACTGGGCGTCTGCTGGGCTCTGGGGTCCTGCTGTCAGCACAGGCAGGGAAGACAATGAGGGAGGGAGAGGGAGCTAGGAGATGCCTGCCTATGTGGCAGCCCAGAACTCAAAGACTGTGGCCCTGGGTACCCAGAACACCCAGCCCCCACCCAGCTGTGACTGTCTTACTGAGCCTTCCCCACAGACAGCCAACCCAGTCTTCATCCCAGATGCCTGCAGCGCCCAGAACCCATGATTTTCTCCCACTTCCCCTGACCCTCCTTCTCAGGCAGGGACTATGGCTTAATGAAGAGGTGCACTGGAGGACACCTGGGGTGGCCAGGGATTGGCTGTGATGTGGCAGGGTCTGAAAGTATCCACACCCTTTCTGAACTAACCTTCCTGCCTTGCCCTCTCCTCAGTGGTTCACTGTTGTAGTTTCATCTCTGGGCCAGCACTTCTAATCCAGCTCTCCCAAACACCTAATTGTCATGCCTCTGGACCTTTGCACAAGCTTTCTCCAGGGCTGACTTCAGTCCCCTCCAAGTCCTCTGAGAAGCTGTCCCTGGATCAGCCCCAACATGGCAGAATTAAGGGTGAGACTTGTGTAGTTCAAAACACACATACACAAACACACACACAAACATACTGTACACACACACACACACACACACACACACACATGCATACACAAACAATGAGCCCAAGTTCTGTTCCAGGCGTCCCCCAGAGAAGAGAGGACACATGGTTGTGGGCATATAACCACACCTGTGGATGAAGACCTTCCAGGTGAGCATGCCAGCTAGACTGCCCAGTACCTCCCCACCATCACGGTTCTCCCTGCTCAAGGACATACCCTGTCCTCCTCATTGCTATTCTTGCCCAGTATCAGGGACCCCGAATTCAGGAGGCCAAGCTCCTGCCCATGCTCCATCCAGGACTCCACATCACCAAGGCAGTGCCACTGGTCCAGGGGGAGGTCAGAGTCCCAGCCCCAGCTCAGCCCTTCTTTCAGCTGCCTGGGAGGGGTGGCTAAGAGTTATGGAGGGCAAAAAAGGCCTCATCCCCAGCTCCTAAGATCCAGGAACTCAAACAGCTACATCTGGTCCACCAAGCCAGATGACACTGATAAATACCAGCCTGTTGCATGTGGTGTCAGCAGTCCACACGACCAAGGGGGCTGGGATATGGGTGGGTGAGGAGGACACCGGCAGGGCATGAGAGGTTCTGGGGGCATGAATGTGGGGTTGGGGGTGGGGGCTCTAGGGTCAAGACACATAGAATCCCAGCCTTCCCATCTAGCTGGGGAGGGAAACTTGGGTCCTGTGGAGCCCACCTCACACCAAGCTCAGGCCTCTACAATACACAAGTCTGTTCCTTCCAACACTTCAGTTCCCTTTCTGCAGAGAGCCCTGACCTTCCCCCAGTGGGGCTATTGAGTTGGGGTAGAGGTAGGGGCTTTTGAACTCCAGGAAAGAAAGATCAGGCCTGAGTCACAGCTGGTGGGGGAGGGAGGTGGATGGGAGCGGGTAGGAGGAGGGGAAAGTAGGAGAAGCTGGAAGATATCTCTCCCAAGCACCCATTCTCCTCCCTCTGCCCAAGACCCCCAATACTGCACCAGCCTTATCTCCTACCTGGCCAGTGAGGTTTGGGCCCCATGTCCTTCCCGTTGCACCGGCCCTTTGCCCTCCCCAAAGAACGGTGGAGCCCGTGGGGAGCGCAGTCCAGCACAGGCTGGAAGGTCAAGGGGAGCCTGAGCCGTATCAGGTGTCTCCCTCCATGAAGTGGGGCAGGGGGAGACAGACACTCAAAGGAAAACACCAGAAAGCGGCTGCTAAGAGAACCAGACTTCGAGAGCAGCGGGAAGGATGGAGGCGCCCAGGGATGCGGAGCAGGCAGGGAGGGACGTCAGGGCGTAGCGGTCGGGTGCCAGGGCCGGGGTCGCCAGCCGAGGAGCTCACCTGGTCACCGTACGCCGCGCGCGCGGCTATGCGCCCTCTCCAGGCCCAGGCGCGCCCCGATGCCTGCCAACACCAGCAGCGCGGCGACGCCGCACACCGCGTAGACGGCCGTGTGGCTGCGCTCGCGGGCCGGGTCCCGGGGCGCCGCGGTGTCGCGGGCGCGGGCGGGCGGCCTGCCGGTTTGCACCCAGGCGGGCGTGTCGTAGTTGGAGCAGCGGCTCTGGTCGAGGCGCCGCGGCCCGTCGTGGCAGCAGAAGCGGTAGCCGCACGTGCCGCAGCAGAAGCTGTAGGCGCCCGAGCTGCAGTTGAAGGGCGGGTCCCACTGGCCCATCACGTCGTAGTAGCCGCGGCAGCGGTCGCCCCCAGCCGGGGCTGCCGTGCCGGGCGCCGCGGGCTCCTGGGCCTCGGGGGCCCCCGCACGGCCCGACGGCGGCCCGGCCAGCAGCAGCGCCAGCCGCAGCGCGATCGTGAGCTGGAGCCTCGGCAGGCGGCGGCCGCCGCACAGTCCCCGCGCCCCAGCTCGCTCCATGGGCCCCGCGCCTCTTGTTACTGCGCCCGGCGCATGGCCGGGCGCTGCGGCTCCCCCGGGCCCGGCTCCTCCGCACTCTCAGGGATCGCGCTGCCCCCTCCTCCGCCGTCAGCGTCCTCTGGGGACCCCAGACTCGAGTGGGCTCGGGCTGGAGTTCGCCGGGTCGCACCGCCGGTGGGCGCGTCCTCCGGGGCTCACCTCGGACCCGCGCCGGCCAGTCCGCACGCTGCGATTCTTCGCCCCCGAGTGGCCGGCGGCTCCTCGCCTGCGCAAGGTCCCCGGCTGCTCCCCGACCCGGCGGGCGTGGGGGTCCTCGGCCTAGCGGGGGCTGCGCCGGGGCGGCGGGCCGCCGGACTCCGCTGCCTTCCCGCCGCCCGCTCCGCGCTGCCGGCGATCTGGCTCCGGCTCGGGCTCCGGCGCGGGCTCGGCGCGGGCTCGGGCGGGCGGGCGGGGGAGGAAGAGAGGGAAGAGGGCGGGAGGGCGGCGGGAGGGAGGCAGAGCCGGAGGAGGAGCGCGGCCGCCGCGAGGGGAGGGAGGGGGCGCAGCAGGGCTAGCGCAGCCGGGGCGCCCCACCAGGGCCCCTCTCCAAGCCCTCCCCAAAATATTCCTCCGAACTAGAGCTCCAGGCGGCTCAGCGTAAAACTCCCGGGACTTTTACCTCGGACATTGGGAGCCTGCGACGGGCGCTTCCCGGTTTTTACACGTGCGGGAACTGACGCGCGGAGATCAAAGCAGTCCGGAATAGTCCCGTGAGGGTCGGTGTCTCCACCACCCCGTTTCGATCCCCTCTGTGCCTGCTGATCGACATCAGGAGGGAACTTTCCCCTCTCCCACCCCCGTCCCATCCTATAGAAAGGAACTCGCCCCCCGCCCCAGCAGAACAGCAGCTCAAGGGACAAGACTGAGTGTCCCCCGCACAGGTTAACTCCAGGGCAGCATGCGGGTTCCAAAACCTCACGGACGTTTAGCTAGGGTCTCAGGATATCCCTAACCTTGCGACGTTGGGCACGGCCCGACCAGCGCCCCCTTGTGATCAACTCCCCTCCCCAGGTGTGATGGGGAGGAGATTTCCAGCCTTTGCTGCGCCAGTCCTGGACACAGGGCCAGTGGCTGACCTTGTCCCTCAGGTCCTTTCACAAGCCAGGGGGGAGGTCAGAGAAGGGTTTGGAACCTGGACCTTGCTCTTGGTTGGGTCATGTTTTCCGAATTGAGTTTACATGGAGAATGAGACCCATTCTGCAGCACCTTGCTTCTCCCAAACTCAGTTTCTCATGAAAACAACAAAAACTTCCTAGAGCCCAGAGTGCTGTGGCAGTACTGTAATCCCAGCTACTTGGGAGGCTGAGATGGGAGAGTCACTTGGGTCCACAAGTTTAAGACCAGCCTGAGCAACATAGTAGAATCTGTCTCAAAAAACAAAAGAAACAAAAGAAAACCTCTTCCTGAAAGGAAGATTCATAATCCACCCCATTCAGGAGGTGGGGCTCAATGACACTTCTCACCATCCAGACAGGAACACCAGCAGGGCAAGGACTAGCTGTCCATCTCACCCGCAGGTCCCCCTCTCCCCAGCACAGCTCAGGCCTGTCAAGATTTGCTGAATGAATGAATGAGTGAGTGAATGAATGAACGAAATGGCATTAGCCTCTAGTGTCTGTAAGAGGAAGAATCTGGGTGCCCTAGGGTCTTTTCTGCTCCCCTTTCTATCACCCCTCCATGCCCTGGGATCAGCTCATGAAAGTGGAGGAGATGGAGGAAGAGGAGGAAGGATTTACATTTTAAGGAGGATCAAGTCCTTCTGTTTTCTGCGATGAGGGGCTGACAGGCTCATTTCAGGTATTAGTGGGTTAAGGCGGAAGGAGAGCAACCTTCTCCCTCAGAATGTCTCCTTGCGCCCTGGTTAAAGACAGCTAGTCCCCTCCTTTCACATAGGCTCACACACACTTCCCACCCAGTCCTGCAGACTCACCTTCATTAAAAGACTTTCCTCATTGCAATTTTAGAAGAAGAAAAGAATAGATGAGCAAAGGAATAAAGTGAAACTGCTTTAATTCTATCAGAAGAGACAACCACACCAAAATATGTCACACTTAAATACCCTGTTCTATAGCTGGGTTTTAGTTTGTTTTTTGCTGTCCTCCAACTGTTCGTTTGTTATTCTGTTGAGAACTTCATGGCAGTGCTTCCTCAAGCGCCCTTTTCTGCTTCCTTAGGGGGCTTTCTGAGAACAGCATCAGTGGTGCTTTTGCGTCAAGTCTCCTCCTGCCAAGCCGTCCTCCAGATTGCGGGAGCTCTGAAGGTGCCCCAACCTCCCTGTCCCCGTTTTTAGGCACTAGGTTTAAAGAGGCTCATCTCTGTCCCACTGGAACTGTGGCCTCTTCCTTGGTAGGGTCTGGAGGAAGTGTCCAATTCTCTCCCCTAGGTCACATCTCCTCCTGGATCCCCCCACTGTCCCAGTATTGGACCATCTGCTCAGCACCCTCCTATCAGGTCCTGCAAACACATGTGCATAGTGCCTGTCATTTGTCCTGTGAAGGAGCTGGATTCCAGCCCTCAACCCCATCCAGGGTCTTATCTCCAATTCCTCCCTTCGCAGCTTTCTTTCTGTCTTAGCCTGATTCTGTGGTCAGCCAGCAACCACAGGTGCCCCCAACTCCCTGGTCTGGGCCAGACACTCAGTGCCCTTTTCAGAAGAGGACCAGTCTCTGGAGTCAGGTGGAGAGCAGAAGGCAGCTCAAGACACAGCCAGGCTGCCTGGCTGAGTCCTGGGATGTGACCAACCATGTAGCTGCACTGCCCCCTCCCCACCCAGGGTGCCTGGTCATGGGTTGGGCAAGGGGATCTAAAGACAGCACAGCTGGGCTCCAGGGCACCTGCCCCTTGTCTCTTCTGCCAGCCCCTCCCAAGTCTGTGTCACCAAAAATCATCCATTGATCCAGGCTTAAAATAACCCCTGGCATCTGCAGCGAGCACCGTGGGGCGGGCAGAGGAGCCGAGTCTCTGCCTGAAGGGCACCCGCCCCGCCCCCCCGCTCCCAGTGCTGGCAGTTTGAGTGTGCGGGTGTCTGAGTGTGCTCATGGATGGGAGCGAGAGAATGCGAGTCAGGGGACTATGAACATCTTCCCCACACCATGGGCGGATGTGCACACACGTGTGTCCATGTGGGTGTGCCCATGCACACATGTCCTTCCCTCCCTGCCAGCTCTGGCTGTGGAAGCCTGGGGGTCCTGAGAGGCTGAGGCTGTGCACATTAGGGAAAGCCTATGTTGGGCCTCAGTGTAACCATTTTAGATGGTAGGTGACCAGTCAGCACTGCTGGATCTGCACATGTACAGCCAGTGAAGGAGGCCCTTGCCTTCCAGGGGCTGTTCTCTCTTCCTGAAATGCCTTCCCAGTCTATCACACTGGATGCTCCTGTTTATCCTTCATTTTGGAGCCAGACTGACTGGATTGCAATTTCTGCTCTACTAGGGCTGGTCAGCCTCTCTAGGCCTCAGTTTTCTCATCTGCAAGATGGGCAGCTAGCTCCTTTTAGGCAGGGCTACAGAGAAGCCAGTGGACAACGACCGACTGCTAAACACCAGGGTATATGCGGTCCCCTGGGATGACTGCCTGCAGAAGACAGACTGACATCAGACCCCACTCACGAGTCAGAATGGCCTCAATCCTAAATTTACCTTCTTCCACTTCCTCCATGCTGGGCTCCCCGCTAGTACAAATGCCGGTACCAGGAGGGGGTCTGAAGGGAGGGCCCACTGTTTCCTTTGTCTCCTGAGAGGCAGCTAGTGACTCAGCCTCCAGCTGTCCGTGGGAGGGAGGGGGCGCCCGGGCTCCTGAGGTCACGAGGGAGCAGAGGAATTGAGAAACAGAGATGAGGCTCAGCCTCCCTTCCCAATCCCTGTGCACCGCTCCAGGGCAGCAGCCTACCTTGCCTCCAGAGTCTCAGCTAACACTCTTGCCTGAACCCACCCCATAGTCTCCTCCTTCAGGACCCTCCAAAGGTCCCAGCGCACGTGCAGAGCCAAAACTGGCCATCAAGACTGTAGGAGGACAGGGCTCAGCCGAGGCCGCACTGCAGGGCCACTAGGCCAGGGGCTCCTTCTCCCTCCAGCCCGCCTTCCTCACTCCTGGAGTCAGCTCAAAATTCGCTTGGGAGAGGGGTGCAGAGGTCCTACCTACACCTTGTCCTAAAGTTGGGTGAAGGCCCGCATCCAGGGATGCGCGTGAGGACGGATCCCGAGTGCATGCAAAGCTGGAGAGCCAGAACCCGGGCTGAAGATGTCTCTCAGCGCTGGCCTGTGCAAGACCCTGGGTTCCACCCCAAGGCAAGAAAAGAAGAAAAAAAAAAGTTGGGGGCGTGGCTCAAGTGTAGACGCCTGCCCAGCGAGCGCGAGGCCTTGAGTTCAAACCACAGAACCGAAAAAAATAAACAGCTAAAAGCGGATCCCCGCAGTCCTGGTCCCGCCCGTATCCGGCCCCTCCCTTTCTCCTCGGCCCTCAGACTTGACCCCACCCCTTAGGCTTGCCGCTGGCCCGCCCCTTTCCGGCAACCTCAGCCCCGCCTCTCCTTGACCCCGCCCCTCGGGCCTGCAACCCGCTGCCTGCTCAGCGCAGCTAGTGGGTAGACTGCCACCGCGGCGCTGGCCGCAGGAACCGCGCGGACGGACTTTCGCCTGCCCCGCAGTCGCTGCTCCCGCCTGGGGCTGGAGCTGGATCCCAGATCCTCTGCACCCTAGGCAAGTGGATGCTCGGGGGCCCTCTGCGTCCCGGGACTCCGGTAACGTCCGTTACTCGTCACACTCTTTCTCCCAGCTGCCGCACCCTGCCCGGGAGTCCCGGGAGGACAGCGCACAGGCCGGGAACACGGACATGTCTCCCCCAAGGTCCTCCCTGACTGTCCTCGTGACCCTGGGCAGTGGGCCCTACCAAACTCCCAATCTCTCCCTCCCCTCCAGAACTGCTCCCAAGCCACCCTCTGCTGCTGGCATTCCCTGCCCCTGGCTCTGCATGCCACATGTGCCCTTGAATCTCGAAGCACAGCTGGTGGTCCTCAGGAATCCCATTTCATAAATGTGGCCCAAAGAGATGCTACCAGCTTCTAGGCACAGTGCTGTGGGGGGCCCAGCCCTGTTGAGACAGAGGTGGCACAGAGTCAAGCCTTCCTCCCTAGCCTCACCAGCTGGGCCTCCTCACCCCGACCCTAAACCTCCAGTTCGGGGCTACCAGACAGGAAGTGAAAGGGGCCTGCAGGAAATGCCAGGAGGAACCGAGACTTCAGCCAGCCCCTGCCCCCACCTGAGGGTCCCTGGGGATCTTGAGGAAACCAAACCTTTCTTAAGGAAAAACTGGCCAGAAACAGGCTAGGGAGAGTGAGTCTGCTTCCCTCTGTTCCCACCTCAACCACTGGTCCTTCCAGAGTCTATCTTGAATCCCTCACTGAAAAACAAGACCAGTTGGGGAGAAAAATCTTTGAACAGTGATGAAAACAAGAGGTAGGGCCTGGCATCAATCCCTAGAGCCAGCCATTCCCAAGAAGGGAGTCGGGACAGGTAGCACACTGTTGGGCAGGCACACTGGACAAGGGCAGGAAGGCCAGGTGTAACTGAGCCCACCACTAATCTTGGTTTGTGTCTTTGGCCAATCCCTTTACCTCTCTGTAAAGAGAGGCCCACAAAATCCTTGCTCATGGATGCAAAATGGTCCTGATTATCAGGAAAGCGGCTCCACCCACAAGGGCCTTTAGAAAGGTCAGTCTTTGGTAGACTCTCCTGGGAAACAGACTGCAAAGATCCATGCTCTGTGCCTCAGTTACAATAGCAAACCCCGAAAATAGCCAGTTGCTCAGGTGAAAACTTGACAAGTGTTGAACCCCTCTTGGGAAGTGTCTGAAGACGGCACACCCAAGGTCGGGGTGGGAATCATGTTTACAGTGATTGAAGTTAAGGAAACATGCACCACACACTGAGGGGCTCAACAGGCCATCTCCCCACCCTGGATTATCGCCCCACTTTCCAGCTTGCCTACAAAATGTACCTTCTGGTTTCTTTTTAATAAAAAACTTATTTTTAACCAAACACAAATACCTAGCCACCCCTTTGCAGGTGCTGTTTATGAAGATCAAGTGCAGTATCAACGTAGCTCCTTAGAAAGTAACACCTAGGACAGAGGGAGGAGACTGATTTCATTGCCTGGGTGGTGGGGCCCTTTGGGAGGACTATGGAGGGACATTGTACCTGCTTCTTGTTCACCCCTCCACTGGTCTCTCCTGGTTCTTCACTCATGGGCTATTTGCTGGTGACAATGCTAAGTCTTCTCCCTATCTGGGCCTCAGTTTCCTCCTCTGTGAAATGGGGATGTATGAGAGACTTCTCCAAGATTCCTCCAGCCCTTCTATGGTGGTGGTGGAGACCACAAGCCAGGAAGAGAACTTTGCATCCAGCCCTCCATTTTTCAGAAGAAGAAACTGAGATCAGAGGGGAAACTGCAGCAGCCTGGGGGTCAGCTGGGATGGAGAGGTACCAAAGGTTTGCATGTCTGGGCCCCAAGGGGTTTCACTCACCCTTTTCACCTTCAGAACCTAGACCCTGGCAGTAGCTAAGACAGGAGGGTGGGAGACAGGGGTGTCCAAGAGCAGCTCAGACTCTCTAACCCTGGGATAGGGTGGGGGGAGTGGATGGCTGGGCCCAGCCCGGCCACCTGGCTCTCTGAGGATAGGGGCATCTCAGATGGATTCAGGGTGGAAATAGCTGGTCAGAGCCTTGATACGAATGTCTAGGTTCTGAAGCTTCAAATGCCAGTGGCACTGTCTTCTGAGCTGGGAAAGAGGTGGAGCCTACCGGGCAGCTCTGGAGGGCAGCTCAGGGAGAAACAAGCAGAAAACCTCTGATGCACAGACCAGAACATGGTCAGTGTTTCATAGGGGGAAATCAGTATCTAGGGTTCCACCTTCTGACTCCCAGTCCAATGCCCCTTCCATTTGGGCAGGCAGCAGAGATGAAGGCACAGTGCAATCCAGAACTGGAGAGGATCTTAGCCCCAGGACCCAGAGTAAGGAGCACCACTGCGGGAGGACAGCTTCCCCTGGGTCAGTGGTGAGCCTAGGGGCCAACACAGGACGGCCAAGTGAGCCCAGTACTTGGGGCCCAGGCCACAGAGATGAGGGGAAGGCAGGTCATGGATGGAAGAGCACAGGAGGAACCTCAGGTCCATCTGATTCAAAGTCACAGGCGTGCCCTGGCCTCTCTTCGAAGGAGCCTCCTATAGGTCCTGGGCCCCGTCCTGTGCCTCCCTGAGTGGACTGTGCCTCAGATGCAGCTGGGCCCCAGGTGGTTCCTAAGGGAGTGTTCTGCCTGGGTGTTCCTTTAGCTTGAGCTTGGAGTCCAGCCTCAGAGTCTGCAGACCTCCTTCCAAATGCAGCCTGAGGCTCTAGAAGTTGCTACCAGTTATTGGAAATGCTCTCTTAGGTCCCAGCAGATTTGGGCCAAGTCCAGGGTAGATCCTAGGACACAGATATCTGAGAATTCATTCCGCACAATCTTCTTTTTCCCTGGTCATTTCTAAAAACAAATAACCTTGGGGCTGGGGGTGAAGGTCGGTTAGAGCACTTGCCCAGCATGAGCAAGGTTCTGTGTCTGATCCCCAGCACCAAAATTAATAATAATAAAAAATGTAAAAAGTTACAAATAATCTTGTACTAAGTCTTAAAGTGAAACTGTCAGCTCATTGCTGCTACTTGCATCAGTTTAAAAGCAGGACAATTCTGAGAGCAAGTGTTAAAGAAATACAACACTTAGTTACAAATTAAGCATCCTCCCACTTAGTCTTTTTTTCAGATTAATTTTGGCTTAATAGTAGCTTCCCCCTATAAAAGAAAAATCTCTTACTCATAGTGCATGTACTAGTCTGTTTTGCATTACTATAACAGAATGCCTGAGGATGGGTAACTTTATAAAGAAAAGAGATTGGGCTGGAGGTGTGACTCAAGTGGTAGAGTGCAAGTGCAAAGCCCTGAGTTCAAATCCCAGTACCATCAAAGGAGTGGGGCAGAAAGAAGAGATTTATTTAGCTCACAGTTCTAAAGGTTCAAGGGCCCACATCTGGTATGGCCTTCTTGCTGGCAAAGTCCAAAGTGGCACAGGAATCACTTGGCAAGACACAGGGTATGTCTTTTCTGGTCTCTCTCCTTACAAAAGTCACCAGTGTTCAATCATGGGAGCTCCATCCTGATGACCTTGTCTAGTCCTAGTCACCCCCAAAGGTCCCACCTCTGAACCCCAAAGTGAGATTAAATTTTCAGCCTTCTAATACCTCACAACAAGGGTTAAACTTCGACACATGAAGCCTTAGGAGACACACTGAAACCATAGCTAAACCATGGCACACGAAGCCCTTCAAAAACACAGGAGCGCCACACAGTCCTCAAGACCGTCAGAAGTGTTCACACAAGCAACTGCAAGCTGGCTGGAGCCACACTGTGCCCGGAAGGGCCTATGGTTTTGCAGCGGTCAGCTGAGAGCAGTGTGGCACCCAAGCAAAGGGTGGTAGCACTGGGGTGAAGAGCTGAATTCAGTTTTCAAGAAGCAGGGCGGAGCCCCCGCCTGCCCCTGCACTGCTACTGCTGCTCAGGACCTGCAGTCTTGGTGGTCACTAGCTCAGTGGAGCCCAGTTCTGTGGCCGGCACAGGGACACTGTGGCCTGGTGGGGTGGTATCTGAATCTTCTCTGGGTAGAGGCCAGACAGGAGCTGAGGCATCAAGGGTTCGTGAAGAGGGGACAAAGATGTTGTCCAGGGGCTCTGAGGTGGACAGAGTACCGGATATGAAGGATCAGGATTGAGTCACAGCTTTCCCTACTCCCTGTTCTGGAAGCTTCCTCCTGAGAGACAGCTGTCAGTGGAGGGAGCCCTACTGTAGGGTGGGGAGGAGTGGCCCGTGACAGGCCCCAGGATGGGAAATGCTGAGTTCAGAGGCCAGACAGGGGACAGTGCTGTCAGGGAGAGGTGGGAAATCCAGTCTGGTCATCCCACAGATGACACAGTGGCCCATGTGTCTCTTTCTTCTTCAGCCCTGGGTCCCCAGCCTGGACGAGGGGCTGGCTCCCTGAGATCCGCAGAGCAAACGTCCTCCGTGGTCCGTGTCATCCCTCAGCCCTGTCTCCCAGTTGGAAACTCCCCTACTCCCCAAGGGCCATGTGCCCCCTAGGCCGCCCCTACCCCAGCCCATGTGACCCACTGCCATAGAGCAATGCCATGTGGCTCCCCTAAACGCGGGACTCACCGTCCTGGCCTCCGGCTGGGGCCTTGGAGGATGCTGTGCTGCGCAGGTTCCTCCACCTCCAGCTCACCAGGGCCACCAGGGCCAGGGCCAGCGCCAGGCCCAGCAGCGCGGGGGCGCCGAAGAGCAGCCCGGGCAGGGGCAGCACGGCCTGGGGCCCGGTTCCCGCGCCCACCGACTCCTGCGGTTGCAGCGCCGTCCCCGGCGCCTGGCTGCTGGCCGCGGATGCTGGTGGAGGGGACGGTGAGGGAGGGCGGGGAGCAGAGGGAGGGGACGGCCGAGGGTCGGAGGGAGGCGACACTGCGCAGAGAGGAGGGACAGCAGGTGGGGTGGACGTGGGGAGGGGGAGAGAGGGGTGGTGAGGGCCACGCCATGGCCGCCGGCCCCATGGGACCCGCATCAGCTCGCGCCCTGAGTCCTGGGGGGCGGCACCCTCCTCCCCCGGGGCCCCCTTACCGCGTCCCGGCTCGGGCGTGCGGAGCAGCCTGCAGGCCACGCAGTGCCGCACCAGCGGGTCGAAGCACTCGGCCTGGACGCACGGGGTGGGCGCCGGCCCGTCCCTGCCCCTGCGGCTCCGGGCCGCGCGCCGCGCAGTGCCCATTCCTCCGGCCGCGCGCAGCTGGGACAGTTCTGGGCTTGGCCTCCGGGGCCCTGGGGAGGAAACCCCGAGGCACCACCCCCGCCCCGCCCCGCCCCGCGTGCGGACTGCGCTTGCCAGGGCCCAGGGCCCCGCACCCTAGACCTTGTCTTTCACCTGTGGTTCCCCCATTCAGCCACTCAGCCATCACCCCAGACCCCAGCTGGGCGGGCCCTCTGAGGGGCCCTGGGACTCACAGGGGTTCAGACCAGAGCCTGCTCTTGGGCAGGCAGGGAGGTGGCCCCTGCGGTCAGGACACAGACCCGGTGGTGGCCGTCTCTGCTTTGCCTCACCAGTGCCAGCCATGACCCCAAGGGCTCCCACCAGCCAGTTTTTCCCCAGTCCCTCTTGCCTCCTGCTCTGCCCTTCCCAGGCAGAGCTGGCTCAGGCCTGGACCCCTCCCCAGGGACCACCTTGTAAAGCCCCCAGTTGCACGTGTGCCTGCCAGGGGACTCCCACACCCGTGGCCATATGCAGGGAAGATACATGATGTCTCACAGCCTAGCCCGACCTCAACTCCCTGTCCCCTTTGGCAGCAGCAGAGACAAGCGGCGAGGCTCCCAGTATGGCATGGGAGCCAGTGGGTGCGGGGGCCGGCCTGAGGCCCACCAGCACAGGTCACTACAGAAGAGGGCAGGGAGGCTGTGTGGAGGAAGTGATGTTGAGGTGTTGGAGTGAAGTCTAGGGGATGGTGATGGAGTGGAGGTTGCGTGCCAGCAAGGTCCTAGGCCCAAACAGGAAGGCCAAGGAATGCTGCGACCAGAGGGCCAGGCTGGGACCTTGACTGGATCGTTAGGCAGCTTGGGCTCTGGCTGGAGGACAGTGGGGAGCTGTGCATGGCTTTGAGCAGGCAGGGATCCAGTAAGATGTGCAGATTAGCAAAGAATCTATGGCCCACCCAGTCCCCCCACAGATGCATGTGATATGTCTGTCCTGCTCACTCCTGTGACTCACTGACGCCCCTTCCTGTCGGGGCCTACTCTCCAAGGTTTGTTCCCCACCTGGCTTTTACCCGTGTCTCAGATTGAGTCTCGGTCACACACACCAGCTCTCTTGCCCTTCGGACATACACTGCCTATCCCTAGAGTAGGGGTGAGGGCTGGCGGGAGCCTCAGGGAGAGCCTAATGGTGGGCCACACAGACCCCTAAACTCTTAGCGACAGCAACTGTCCAGGGGCTGGGGAGGAGCTTGGGGACAGAGGTGCATCTTTTGACACTACAAGGGGGAGGGTAATGGCAGGGGAGAGGCTAAATGGGGGAGAGGCATGGCCATGGCTGTGGGGGATGCTGGGAAAAAGGAGGGAGCTCCCAGGCTGCCAGTGAAGCCCAGGCCAGCAGTGAGGAGCCCCCAGGGTGTTAAACTGAGAGCGGGGAGGGGCAGGGGCAGGTTTCCAGATGGAGCTTTATTTAGAAGGGCCCTCTCTCTGGCTGCTGTGAGTTGGAGGCTGGACCGAGCAGACAAGAGGCTGATGCCTCTGTCCAAGGCAGGGGATGATGCTTATGATGACCATGGAGTGAGGAGAACAAGACTGACCCCCAGGTTTCTGGCTTGGGAGACCCTAAGGACTCCATCACAGCCTCCAGTCAGCCAGCCTTGAGCAGCCCACCGCCTCTCCATCCCCTGCCTACGGGCCAGCAACTCTGCAGCAGGAAGGTGTAGGCGGCAGGGAAGCTGCAAAGGAGAAGTGGGTCTGAGGAGGTGGGTGTGGGTGTTCATGTGGGTGTATCAGGTGTGGGGAGGGGGGGCTGCGAGCCAGACCAGAGACTGTGCTTCTTATGGGATAGAGAGGAGGGAGCAAGGCCAGAAGACTGGGCTACAACCCTCTACCCACACCCACCTCTTATCACTGCCGGTGCTACAGTTCTTCCGTCTTAACTGTTAGGGCCACAGAGCCCTGCCTGCTCACAGACATGCTACTTAGCCCTGGCACACGCTGAAGATTACGGGAACCCAGAAGCTGGGCGCCTGCCCTGGGGAGAGAGTAGCCCAGTGGGGCGGCGGCTGGAATAAGCAATGTGAGTTAAGCCAAGGGTGCCAACCTGCACAGCCGCCCCATCTCACAGCCCAGTGTGTAAGTCACTGGTTGGTCTGCCTCCTCCAGCAGACAGGGAGGGAAAGAGTTGCAACTGTCAGAATTACAGGGTCCCTCCACTTTGGACAGAGGGGGAGGTTGGCCACCTGGAAGGAAAGAAGTAGAATTATATATTCGACACAAATGTCTGCTGGTTATTTCCTACGTGTCCCCAGTGAGTCGGGTGCCCAGGACAAAGCCAGGAACAGTAAAAGGCCTACGGGATTTGTGTCTGCGGTGTGTGCAGGTGTCTAGCATCAGCCTTCACTTGGGCCTGCAAAGTGGGGTAGGGCAGGGGTTGCGGCAGGTCTTGGATCTCTGCTTGGGTGACTCAGTTAAGAAGAGAAATTTCACCAATGTGGGAAATGTTAGTCTCCACCTCAATATATTCTTTTTTTCATACTTCTTAAATTAAGTTTATTAATTTTTGAATTCAAGTCTTCTATATCACTTAAAAAAAAAAACAAAACGAACTATTGCCAGTTTATTGCAAAAGAATCAACTCAGAAACAGCCAGATGGAACAGAAGCAAAAAGGGCAAGGCATGTGGGAATGGCAGGGGCTTCCATGCCTTTGCTGAGCAGGCACACCACCTTGTGACACCCTCTGGAGCCCTCCATGTGCCGCTGGCCCAGAAGCTCTTCTGTGTCTTTTTTTTTTTGATGGAGTTTGAACTCAGGGCTTCGTGTTTGCACACCTTCAGTCCATTTTGCTCTGGTCATTTTGAAGATAGGATCTTGAGAACTTTTTGCCTGGGCTGGCCTTCAACCACAATTCTCCTGATCTTAGCCTCCCAAGCAGCTAGGATTACAGGCATGAGCCATGGGTGCCCAACTCCATGTTACTTTTTGACTATGAGAAATATCCAAGAGAGAAGAGTTGTAGCTCTTGCAAATTTTTCTTTTGTGATGGCCTCGAGCTCCTGGGCTGCAGAAATCTACCTGCCTCAGCCTCCTGAATAGTTGAAACTACAGACAGGAGTCGCTATGCCATTAAGTTTTTACTTGGACTGGAGGTGTGGCTCAAGCAATAAAGCATCTGCTTTGCAAGCATGAAGCCCTGAATTCAAACCCCAGTTCCAACAACAAAAAAAGATAAAGTTTTTACTTCAAATAATTTAATATTATGACTTCAATGTATTTTTCTTTTCTGTGGTGCTGGCGATGAAACCCAGGGCCTTGTGTGCTAGGGGAGTGTTCTACCATTGCGCTACATTCCCAGCCCTTTCAATGTTTTTTGTTGTTGTTTTGAGACAGGCTATCACTATGTAGCCTACACTGGCCTCAAACTTGAAATTCTCCTGCTTCAGCCTCCTGAATGCTGGGATGCAGTCTTTTTTTTGTTTTGTTTTGTTTTTGGATACTGGGTTTTGAACTCAGGGCCTACACCTTGAGCCACTCCACCAGCCCTTTTTTTGTGATTTTTTTTTTCATGATAGGGTCTCACAAACTTTTTCCCCAGGTGGGCTTTGAACTGCAATCCTCCTGATGTCTGCCTCTTGAGTAGCCAGGATTACAGGCGTGAGCCATGCATTTCTGAGTAGGGAACAAGAAACATTGTATAAAACTCCTTCTAATTGAATTTGTCTTAAGTTCTCAACTTTTCACTCCCTGAATTTTTTTTAAAGATGACTAACTTAGGGTCTATTAGGGAGAAGGAATTTTTATCCCTAAAATTTCCCCAAACAGCCTCAGCTGAGGAAACAGAGGATCCGAGGGAGGAAGGGACTTCCCAGAATGACGCAGCTAGTACAAAAGGGCCTGGATAGGGTCTGTGCCTACCTGACTGTGAAGCAGGCCTGTACCCTTGGTGCCTTAGGGACAGGGTAGGGGAAGTGAGGCTACTGTGTCTATGGGACAAGCCCAGTGTCGTCGGGGAGGGTAGTCCCTGGAGACAGAGCCCAGCCCCCCAGATCTGGATGTGAAACTACTCTGAGACCCAGGATGTGCTCTGAATTTCAAAATTAGTTTTAGTCGTTTACGCCAATAATACCTGAAGGTATCTCCATGAAAAAGCCTTCAAACAATACTCAAGTCTCTGAGGAAGCAGGGGAGTTTCCCCACAGTCCCAAAAAGCACCTCAGTTTGTCCTTGGCAGCCCTTTATTCCCGACTGCCTTACACTCTCAGGTATGCCATGCAGACAAAGGGTTTTTTGGCATTTCCTACGTGAGGTCACCCAGCATGGGTCACTCTGTGGGCCTGCCTTATTTCCCTGGGCTGGGCTGGTTCTGGGGGCTCGTGCCAGCTTTTGGTCCCACTGTTTTGTACAGTGCCTGGATCCCCATTATGGGATCCCTTTCTGTGTATTTAGTTTTAACACTCAAGGTCACTGCTAGAAAGTCTCCTTCACCCCAGGTTCAGTGGGAAGGACACAATGGAAAGGGACAGGGTATTGTTGAGCCTCTGGATGCTGGGGAGCAGTTGGGGAATTAGTATAAAGTCTGGCAGGCCTGAGCATCAGGACCCAGAGGCACAGTGGCAGCCAGAGAAGCCCTAGCCTCCTTCCTCTCTGAACCCAAGCCAGACAAGGGCAGGTTCTACTCTTTCATAAAGTTACGAATCCCTGCCCAGGCCTCCGTTAGCCCAAGCACCATTGCCCCACCCTGTGGCACACCACAGGGCTCATGGTCAGACAGCTCTAGCCATTCTCAACATGGACCTGGGGTGGAGACATGAGACCCTCTGTGTGAGGTTAGACAGGAGGTCAATGGCCCCTCAGCCTCTCAGCCACAGGAAGTGGAGTCCCCAACCCCTGGGGACCAGCCAGCAGGTTCATGGGGTACAGAGAAGCTGTGAGGCCCAGGTGGAGGGAGGGAAGCAAGGAGCAGGAGCCTCCCCAGGCCCCTCCTCCCTGGTTTCATTCAGGGCACACACAGCAGGGAGGAGGAGGGCTGGGCTCTGGCCTCCTGCAGGCTTCTGACCCTGTATGAATGCACAGGTCGACTCTGGGCAGATGCCTCACCATCCATCTATATGTTCAGTAAAATTACTGAGCATCTATATGCACCAGGTGCTGTTTTACGTTCTGGGGCAGCAGCAGGAAACCACAGAATAAAAGCCCAGCAGGAAAGCTATTTAGTAGGTGACAGATAAAAAGTGCCAGAAAGGGGGCACCAGGGAATGAGGGGTGCAATTATAAACAAGTGAGTAAGAAAAGGCCTGGCAAGAGGATGACCTTGGAACAGAGAGGGGCAGAGGTAACAACTATCCTCTGGGGAATAGACAGGTGAGGGAGAGGGTGGGGAATAGCACTTCAGTGACCAGGAACAGAGCAGGGGACAGTTCCACACCCCCCCCTTGCAGCCACCCTATGAGGGAAGAAGCATGGAGAACCTGACAAAGAAGGAAGCCAGGTAGAGAGCAAAGGGATGGCCAGGCAGCTCCTAGGCCCTCGCTTATTACACACACGCCAGGTCCTGTCTGTCTGCAATGTACAGGGAGAGGGGTTGGAGAGGGCAGCCCTCACAGGGTAGCTAGGCAGAACACACACTCACTGGCCATGCTCCTGAGCCTCCCAAATGCCTCTGGCATTCCCCTTGATATAAGAGGCTCAGTAGCACGGGACTGTCCATTATCTCCATCCTCCTTCCTGGAGCTTGTCCTCAGTGGCCCTGTCCATGAGGTAATACTTAGGCAGGGCTCAGAGGTGGGGTGTACAGGGCATAGCAGCCCACCATTGTTTCGTCAGCCCCCAAGTGTCTTGAAAAGCCCTTTCACAATGGTCCCAGGGAGCCTGGAAGGAAAGGGGCTTACACCAGCTGGTGCCTCTGGACAAGGTCCCTGTGTGTGTGTTGCAGTGCTAGCTATCACAGGATTTTCTCTCTAGAACCTGCAAGGCTCACCTTGCCTACCCCAACACTAAATGCACCAGCCCTGCAGGCCACCATCTGGGGAGGGTGGACACAGGACAGGCACAGGGTCAGATTCTTGTTCTCAGCTTCATGACAACCCCAGAGGTGGTACAGGCAGTGAGTGAGCTCAGAGGAAATGAGATGCTCCACGTCAGAGCCTGGTGGTGGGACTCACAGCAGGGACCCAAAGCCCATCGTCCTCATGCTCAAGAGCATGGCAGCTTCCAGGCTCAGCTGAAGGAGTGTCTCCTACCCAATCTTTGGGCCACTCACACCTGTGAGCACCCGTGTTCTGGCTTATCCTTAAAAAATGCCTCCAATTAGCCTGACCCCATTCCGAGATGAGGGGACTGAGGCTCATCTAGGGCAAATGACTTGAGATGTCAGCAGAATGTAGCCATACCGTCTCTCCTGCCTCTCTACCCACCTTGGCTGCAAGCACCAATCCCAGGCACATCACTGGCCACAGGGCTGGTCCTTTATTACTTCAATTGCCGCTGGACACTCCTACAGGCCTTCAGACTGTGACACAAGCATTCCCTGGCCACTTGTCCCCAGCCTTCTGGGGACAGCAGGTCTGAGAGCACCTGAGTGCCATGTAAGTGTCGTTCAGCTCTGCTCTGAGGCAGGGGCAGCCCGGCCCAAACCACAGAGACAGCCTCTTGTTCCAGAGCTCCTGCCAAGCTTGGCAGGGAGCTGGCAGCAGTGACAGCCTTGTGTTCCCCCAGCACTTGGAAGCCTCCCAGGTCCTCGCTGGAGAATGCAATGCTACTTCTCTTGTTAAATGGCACCAGGTGGCAAAGAAAATATGGCACAGAGACCTGAGGTAGAGAGGTGTGCCCCATGCTGGCTGGGGGCAGGGTGAGGGGTATAAGACTTCACTATCTTCAGCAAAAGGTTGTGCTCAGCAGAGGTGGCAGGATGTATTCCCATTGCCTTCCTCCTCTGCTCAGGTACTACTCTGCCAGTCCCCAGAGCCCACTCTTTATGGCACAGGATACTGAGGGGGCCCAGGACAAAACTAGTTCCCAGGAGGCCTATACCCTCAGAAGACCAGCCTTCTGCTGGGCCTCTTATTTTTGGCATACTGGGGTTTGAACACAGGACAGGCATGAGCCATTAGCTCCATCTCTGGTACCACCCTCTTCCTCCACCTGGACCCAACCCTCTGCTGGCCTCCCTGCCCAAATGCCTTCGGGCATTCCCTGAGGCTGGCCACTGATGCCCTCCTCCTGTGGCACAGGCCCTGCCCTCCTCCTATCCTGCCCCCTCACTGGGCTGACAGCACCCTCAAAGACTGTCCTGAGGCAGGGTCTTAAGGGACCATCTACAGTCTGCTGCTTTCTCAGGTGCCAAGGCATCTGTCTCCATCGTCTGTGTCTTCAGCTCAAGCCCTACCCAGCAGAGATGCCACACCTTTGCTCAGACAGACACACAGACAACTGAGGACAAGTGTGGCCTGAGTTGATTTTGCTGCCAATTAGCTATGTGACCGTGCAGAGTCTCAGTTTCATGAACTGTGAAATGGGAAATCGGCAACCTCACAAGTCTTCTGGGAGAGTGACAGCGGCTGCTGCTGTGTGAGAAGAGCTCTGTGAAGCGTGGAATGCCCTGAAAATATCGGGTGACACGCACAGCCTCAACCGAACCTATGCAGCTGAGGTCCTCGGTAGGGACCAGGGCTAGGTTCTTAAAGGTACCTCCAGAAAGGAGGCAGGCAGGGCCCTGCCCTAAAAGGAGTTCTAAGTTGGTTTGTTCTTCAGTGAAAAGCATGAACACCAGCTATGTTGGTGTGGTCAAACCAGAGGCTTGGAAGGCAGGCTGTGGCTCAGGCAGGGTGAGGTTAGGTCACTCACCAGAACCCCCTCCACCCCAAGCTCCTGTGTACCAAACCCACTCCCTGTCGCTGTAGGAGCCTTGACTTGACTGACAGGATTCTTCCAGTCAATCCTGGCACCTCTACAAATTTCTGATTAGATCCAAGGCAGGAACACATTCTCACTGCTGACTCAAAGCTCTCCTGCCAGCTTTTCTCACTTCTCACACACTCTTGACCTGGGTGGTGTAATTGCCCATGTGCACCAGTTTTTAAGTCATATTTGTGTGATTTCAAATAATAAGTTACTGTTCATTGAGTGCCTCCCTGGCTCTGTGTAGGGCACGAACACCATGTATGATATCTATCAAGCAAGCAAACAAGTGTAGAAGGTAAGAATTTCAGGCACTTCCATTTCACTCAATCCTCACAATGGAACAAGAGGAGCATAACCATCTTCATTTACACCTGGAGAAACCAAGGCTCCTAGCTTCTATAAAAATAGCAGGGCAAAGATGCAGAGTTCCATTGGGCTCATGGAGTCCAAGCTCCCCCTCCCTCCACACTCTTAATCATTCTGAGTCAGTTTTTTTTATCTGCAAAGTTGAAGTGCAGGAGGAGACCAGAGACCAGTGATATTTAAACTCTTTTTAGCTAGGGACCCTTTGCTCCAATGAATTTTTTTTTTTTTTTTTGGAATAAAGTTTATTGGGAAAGTGGATCCTCTCTAGAGAGAGAATGAGGATGACTGCTCCAAAGAAGTCTTAAGTGGAGATGTACTAGGTCAGACAGATGAAGATACAGGGCTCTGCCACAGTAAGTGTAAGTGTAAGTGTGGGAAGGTGCTGGAGTCCAGGAAGCTGGGCTCCCACCTCACTCCTGACCAGCACTCCCTGCTGGAACAGAGGAGTGCAGCCCTATAGGGACAGGCTGCCTCAGGCCCTGACTGTTCCCACCAATAGTAACTGCTTGTGGAGCCAGCAGCAAGCATGGGGAGGGACAGACCAGTGGCCAGTGGCCCTCATGGCTCCTCTAGCAGGGGACTCTCGGAGCTTCTCAGCAGGGACAATAGGTTGAGAGCTGAGACACCAGGCACATGGCCAGCACAGATCTGCAACATGCGTACCAGGCGCTGTGCCATGGTGGCTCGGAAGTCTTCCACCTGCAGGAAAGAGCAAAGAAGAGCAGTGAGACAGCCTGGGGTGGCTGACCCTGCTCCCTTATTAAGAGCAATTGTCCAGGTACAGCTGGGGGCCAAGACACAGGGGCAGTTCAAGGCACTGTGGCCCATCTGTGTCCCTTGTGAGGGCAGGCCTCACAAAGCAGCTTCCCACATTCTCAGCTTATCCAGTCTCTCAAACAACCTCCAGAGAGACACTCAGAGACTGTGAACCCTGCTCAAGAGGAAATGAGGGCTTGGCAAGCAAGGTTGCAAGGTCAAGTACACCATCTACGGTCACATAGGCAGCGACTGCAGACCTGGGATCTGAACCAGGGCTAGTCCCAGTCACTGACTGGCATCTAAGGAAGGCTCACACAGGGACAGAAGGATGGGTGGACACACTGTCCTCACCATGGATAAGGAGGCACTAATCACAAGGAATCCCTTTATTAGGGCTTGTGAAGGCCTGGGGGGCCCAGAGGAGCTGGTGTTAGGAGGGACATGACTCTTTCAGCCCTAGCATCAGCGAGTGCTGGGCAAGAGAAGACTGTAGGGGGTGGAGGTGTGGCTCAAGTAATAAGAATGCTTGCCTAGCAAACTTAAGAAGGCCCTGAGTTCAAACCACAGGACCACACAAAAAAAAAAAAGAGCCACAGAGACACCTATAAACATTTTCTGGAGAACAAATGGTGATGCTTGATGTCTTCTTCTGGGCAACAGGTAGCCCCAGAAGTGGCTTGCCTTCTCCTGGGCTCTCTCTAGCTGTTTGCTCAACTAATCTAATATATCTTTTTTTTTTTTTTCATGATATGGGGGTTTGAACTCAGGGCCTTATACTTGCTAGGCAGGTGCTCTACCACTTGAGCCACTCCACTAGCCCACCAACCCTATTTCAGTGAAGGGTTTTTCGAGATAGGCTCTTGCAAACTATTGCCAGGCTGGCTTTGAGCCATGATCCTCCTGATCTCTGCCTCCTAAGTGGCTAGGATTACAGGTATAAGCCACTGGCGCCAGGCAAAGAGGTGTGTTTTATTTATTTTTTTGGCAGCACTGGGGCTTGAACTCAGGACCTCATACTTAGTAGGCAGACACTGTTATCACTTGAGCCACTCTACCAGTCCAAGAAATACTCATTGAACGAATCCTCCAGTCTAAGTTCTATAGCCTTTGCCCTGAAACCCACCTCCAAGCTGCTGCTTTGGCTTGGGCTCCTGCCACCCAGGCCCCTCCCACCTACACATCACACTAACTGACGAGGTCCAAAACCCCAAGTCTCATCACAGTCATGACTTTGCCCATGATGTACAGGAAGAAATGACTCAATGCTACACTGGGTTTCCAAAGCCCAGCAAAATGGTTCTGCTTTGCACATGCTGCACATCTGTCTGCCTCACTAGATTCTGAAAAGGCATGGCCAACACCTGTCTCATTTGTGTTCCCAGGCACCAGCATGGGCCCTTCCAGCAGACAATAGTCCACTGAGGGAACCACATACCTCCCAGAGTGTGTTTCCTGATTTGTAAAAGGGGGCTGGTAATTCCTGTCTTGCAAATCCTCCAAATATGGCAAGGCTAAATTGATTAAGTAGAAGAATGTGCTCTGAAAAGGACAACTCAGGCACAAGGAGTGACAAAGGTGCAAAGATGGAAGGCTTTATTTGCAGAATACAGACCTAGGTTCTGAGCAGGTATTTCTATACCTCTCGGTACTGGCTAGAAACAGGCTGGGGCCTCCGCTTCTTGCACAGTCAGCCACAGGTTTTTTTCTTCAGACAGTTCTGAAGCAAACCCAGGACTTGGTGTGGCCTGCCACCTCAAGGCCATACATGGAACTGTATTACCTGTCACAAGGTTAGTCACTCACCAGCACCTACCCAAGCTGTGGGCGAAGATGACTTTTCAACTAGAGACAAGACTAAGGTTTTGTTGGGGGAAGTAATTTGTTCAAAGCCACATGGTCAGCAGGCTACCATGGAGACATCTGGCCCTAACTTACTAGCTGTAAGGTATCTTATCTCTCAGTTTGTTTCATCAGGTTTGCTGTGAGGAAAGTCAGGAAGTGGGAACCACTTCAGGTGTACTGGGCTGCAGGGTACCACTTGTCAGATCAGAGCAATGATCTGATCCAGGGTTCTAAAAACAGTTATCAAACCCAAGAAATGAGTGTGTGATAGAGTAATGGGTGCCCCTGTATCAATGCCATGGTCTAGGGGCAATCTAATAGGTAAGCCTAACACCTGGAACATGAAGTCATGGTGATGTCTGCCCAATCCTGATGTAATAGGAAAGCAAAGACATTTCTACGGTAACAACCACAGACTGCGCTATTCCAACTGACATTCTTTGTCTACATCCATAAGTTCAATTTAACTTATAGGTTAGTAGAAAAAGAAGTAATTTTTCTTCTTATTCAAGTTCATAGATCCCCTGAATTCTGCCCTCAGACCAGAGGGGTCCATAGACTCCACAGCAGGAGCCCCAAATGGCAGTGAGGGATCTTGTGCTGACTTTTCTGTCTATATGAAATCACTTTACCTCTGGGAACAAGTGCCAGACCCAGAACAAAGTGTAAACACATACCTTCAAAATTAGCCTCAAGCTGGGTGCTGGTGGCTCATGCCTGTAATCCTAGCTACTCAGAAGGCAGAGATCAGGAAGATCACAGTTTGAAGCCAGCCCAGGCAAATAGTGCCTGAGACCCTATTTCGAAAAACCCATCACAAAAAAGGGCTAGCAGAGTGGCTCTACTAGTAGAGTGCCTTCCTAGCAAGTATGAGGCCCTGACTCTCAGAAAAAGTCATCAATATTCATCCTGCATGAAAAGGTTACATATCAGTAACTTGAGAATCTGCTTTGCTGCCTTCGGTTAGGACTCACCTTGTGAGAATGCCAACAGAAGTTACTAGTGGCAGAACCAATGCCATGCATATCTACCTAACCATGTACCCACACACTAAGTAGACATCCCTATAGCCTACAGTATGCCCTGCCCTGGGCAGGGACTGGACAAGGTCTGCAATCCAGGAAGGTTAGGGAGACATCAGGCATTCTAACTGGAAAACATGAGGATGCACCAGTTAATAATAGATATGACATCTAGTCTCACAAACACTCAGATTCCAGCAGGAGTGAGATACTAACATGGACGCATGAAAATATACACAAGATTTACTTGTAAGTTCAGAGAAATAGAACAAAAGGCAACCAGTCACAGAGACTAGTATATACCCCTATTTTATACCTGTGTATCCCAAGGCTGAGGGGAACCCCTGAGAGGTTACAATCAGTGAGCAGGACCAGGATTCAGAGCAGGATCTGAATCACACCAGGAGCCACCTCATCTGGGGATTCAATAACCCTTACCTAGGCACTGCTGACGTGCCTACTGTGTGCTGACTGCCCTTTCCCCAAACCCAAGTATAATGTTGACCACTGTGATCAGTGTCCTTACCTCCAGGTCACAGAAGAGCAGGGGGCTTCGGTAGGTGTGGGCCAGGTTGGCAACCGTGTTCCGGTGAATGCTGCAGTGGCTCTCCCGCCCAGCTGCAAAGAAGCTATAGCTTGTATCCAGGAAGCCCTGGGCAAAGGAACGCATTCCCTCTCAGGGTCTGTTTCTTACTAGTCAATGGGTGACAATTCTGATCGCCTTCTTTTCTAGGCAGTCAAGACAATCCCATTAGATAATAAGGCTGAAAGGGCTTAGAGAACATTCTCTAAAATACATGAGTTTCCTCACTTATAAAATGAAGATAATAAGAGCTCCTACCCACTGAGTTACTATAGAAAGTTAATGAATTGGTATCAAGAAATTACTAGGCACTCATTTATTCACCAATATTTACTGAGAATAATCTGTGCCAGGCTCTCCCTTTAGGAGCTCACAGTTCAGGAGGGGAGGGACAGGTCAGATGTGACAGGAGCTGAGTCTGGCAGTATTTGTAGGTGTTAACAAGACAAAGAGGAGAAACAAAGTATTTGAGAAAAGCCCCAGAGCAATCATTAAGAGAATGGCCCTAAGGGGGAAAAAAAAGAGAGAGAGAGAGAGAGAGAGAGAGAGATGGCCTGAAGCCAGACATGGTGGCCCACACCTGCAATCCCACTGCTTATGAGGCTGAGGTAAGAGGATTGTGAGTTAAAGGCCAGTCTGGGACCCTGCCTCAAAAAGGGGAGGGAAAGGGAAGGGAGAGAGAAAGACAGACTGCCCATGTTCTCTCCATTACCCAGGTTGCCTCAGCAAGGAGTCTACAACTGCTGCTGTTCTCCTGAGGGTGAGGGGAGGGCAGGGGACATACTTACCACCTGTGGTGAGGAAGCAAACCTTCCCTAGGAAGAAGCTGGCATCTACATGGTGCAGGGACTCCTCCACGTTCTGGAGGCTGGGGCAGCCAGGCCAGGGCAAGGAAACAAATCAGAAGACAAAACTTCACAACAGAGACAGTAGGTGCTCAGCTCCTTTGATCCAAAAGGCCAAAGATTGAGAGGGTGACAGGAAACAGCTCCAGAGGAATTCAAATTCTACAAACTCCCTTTTCTTTTTTTTTTGAGACAGGCTCTCACTATGTAGCCCAGGTTGGTCTTGAATTCAAGATCCTGCCTCAGCCTTTTTATTTTTGGGTGAGACTGGGGTTTGAATTCAGGGCTTCCTGCTTGCAAAGCAGGTGCTCTACCACTCAAGTCACACCTTCAGTCCATTTTGCTCTGGTTATTTTGGAGATAAGGCCTCCTGAACTATTTGCCTGGGCTGGTCTCGAACTGCAATCCACCCAATCTCAGTCCACACAGTAGCTAGGATTACAGGTGTAAGCCACTGGTATCTAGCTTCTTTTTATTATTATAAAGGCCTCAGTCTTTTTATTATTATTTTTTTGTGGTGCTAGGGCTTGAACTCAGGACCTTCACCTTGACCCACTCCACCAGCCCTATTTTTGTGAAGGGTTTTTCGTGAGATAGGGTCTCCAGAACTATTTGCCGGGGCTGGCTTCGAACTGCAATCCTCCTGATCTCTGCCTCCTGAGTAGCTAGGATTATAGGTGTGAGCCACCGGCACCCAGCTTGCCTCAGCTGAGTGCTGAAATTACAGGCACACACCCCACTAAAATACTTTCAATTACAGAGTAATTCATGCTTATAAATAATCAAATAGCAAATATGGATGTACACAAAGATAGTCAAAGTGTCCCCTGAGCACCACACTTCTTCACTCCAGAACCATGAGACAAAGTAAACTTCTTTTCTTTATAAAGTATCATGCCTTAGTATTTTATTATAGTAATGCAAAACTGACTTCACTCCCAACTCCCCAGAGGAAACTGCTGCAAACAGGTTTGGGTGTAATTCTTCTAGAATTTTTTCATATGCAAATACAGTGGTATGTATAACCATCTACTATTTGGATCACATATAACTCCTTATCAGTGTATAGTTCGGGTACGATTTGAGTGTGTCTGCAAAGGGCTCATGTGCTGAAATTTTTTGGCAGTACTGGGGTTTGAACTCAGGGCTTTGCGCTTGTTAGGCAGGCACGGTACCACTTTAGCCATGCCTCCAGCACTTTTTGCTTTGGTTATTTTGGAGGTAGGGTCTTGCTCTTTGCCCAGGCTGACCTGGACTAAGATCCTATTTTAGGCTTCCTGCCATAGCTGGATGACAGGTGTGTGCCACCACACCCAGCATTTTTCTGTTGAGATGAATCACAAACTTTATTGCTCAGGCTGACCTGAACAGAGATTCTTCCTGCATAGGTTAGGATTGACAGGCATGTGCCACTGCACCCAGCTATGGGCTGAGATAGAGCCTCGATACCTTTTTTTTGCCCAGGTTGGTCTCAAACTGAGATCCTCCAGATCTCAGCCTCCAAAGTAGCTAGGATTACAGATGTGAGCCATCAGCGCCCTTCTCCTACTGCGAAATATTAAGAGGGTGGAAACCATGGTACAGTACCTGCCTAGAAAGTTTAAAGTCCTGGATTTGATTACTAGCACTGTCAAAAGTAAAGCATTAAAAACTCAGGCTGACCATAGTGTTTAGAGATTGGCATTTGAGAATTTAGGATTAGACAGGTCATCTGGATGTGGCCCCATGATTGAATCCGTGGTTTTATGAGAAGTGGAAAGAGACCAGACCTATGCATGCTCCCATTCTCTGGCAACTGCCTCAGGACTCTGCCAGCAAGGAGGCAAATACTAGATGTGGCCCCTCAACTTTGGACTTCCAGAACCATGAGACAAAGTAAACTTCTTTTATTTATGAAGTATCAAACCTTGGGTATTTTATTATAGTAATGCAAAACTGACTAACACAAGTTCACAGAAATCTATTATATTCTTCAGAATGACCTCCCAGTGTACCATATCTGGACAATTTTCCCAGTAATGGGCATTTAAATGGTCTCTAATTTTCCACTATTATAAGGCAATCATGGTAGAGCTCAGCTCTTTCTCTAGTCCAGCAGTAAGGTCTACATTTAATCCTGATGCTACTGAATCTGGTGTCTGCATGCATGCTCCAGGTTCCCAGGTGTTTCTAGCAGTCTCCCCTTACCTCCTACCATATCACTAGGTGTCTGCCTTGGTCTCTGTGCTGGACCTCAAGTCAGCTGTTGTCCAGGAGGTGCTCATTTCCATTTTTGCTGACTAACTCTTTCTCATCTTTTAGGTGTCAATTTAAATGTTATCTCCTCCAGAAAGTCTACCCTGACCTCCCACACCTAGGGCCTGGTCACACAGGTTTCATTTATTCTCCCAAACCATAGTCTTCCTTCCTTTACAGTACATATCTAACTATTCAAGAGTCCCGCCCCCTCCCCAACAGATGAGCAGCAACCTTGAGGACAACAGTTTGTTTCGTTCATCTCTGTGCTTCCTGTTAGGTATAGAGTAGGTTTCAGAGAGCTTAAGCTAAATGAGCAGGTGAGGACTTTTCAGTGTCTTTTAAACACTGTGCACTGGCCACTAGCCCCTCCCTTCCACCCTCCAGGATGACCCCAGACAGGCTCTCACTGCCTCCTCCCCTTCCTATCATAAGTGGGGTCACTGTCCAAGCACACTCAAAATCCAGGTCAGACAAAGTCCTGACATTCTCTGTCCTCTGGCTCTCACCTGTATTTGCTGTGAAGGTTAATCACAAACACGATCAGGTCAATTCGGGGTCGAATCACACTGGAGGGCAGAGGGAGGGACTTTGCCAAATGGCTGAAAAACAAGAAACCGTAGGACTAAAGATATATGTACCCATCTTACGGTGGCCAGTCACATGTTGACCTATCTAGGGGAAGAAACTGCCCAGGTCTCCTCAGAGCCCTGCACAAAAGCAGAACAGAGCAAGTCTTATTCATATTGTCTGATTCCTTCTGCCAGAAAGAGGCTCTGTTTGTAACTACCATGACAAGAGGGTCTGGATACACATATACTACATTGAATGTTGGGAGGGAGACCAGGCTTAGAAGTGTTAGACTGAGAAGGTTAGGGGGTAAGACTGAACCATTTGGAGTGAAACAGATATGGGCTCAACTCCTAGTTCTGTCAATTGCCAGCTGAGTGACCTTGGACCAATCTCATTTGGACTTGGCCTCTTCATACCCACCCGAAAGCTTTTCTTTTCTTTTTTTTTTTTTGGTGGTACTGAGGTTTGAACTCAGGGCCTTGAGCTTGCTAGGAATGAGCTTGCTAGGCAGGCGCTCTACCACTTGAACCACTCTTCTAACCCTCTTTTGCTTTTAGTGATTTTTCAAATAGGGTCTCACTTTTGCTCTGGGGTCAGTCTAAGACTGTGATCCTCCAGTCTCTACCTCCTAAGTAGCTGGGATTACAGACATGAGGCACCGTACCTGGCTGAAGATTTTTCTTGAAGCCTTTACTTCTGCCCATTGTCACATAATTCTTTTTTTTTTTGTTTGTTTGTTTTTTTTTGGTGCCGAAACCCGGGAGTCACATAATTCTTATTAACTGTCTTTTCCTTTCCCAGATTATAATTTGAGAAATGCCTTGGAGTGTGGTGGTAAAGGAGGATTATAAATCCAAGGCCAGCTCACAGCAAGACCTTGTCCCAAAAAGTACAAGCAAAAACACCAAACCAAACAAATAAAAATTACAAAAACTTCAAAAATTTAGAATACATAGACCCAAAAGTCTAGTCAACTAAAAATTGCTGTTATTAACACTGAAACATTTTTCTCAACATCTCTTCATGTATATAATATATATACACATTAAGATAATAGAATATAGTCTAAAAATAGAATAGTGGCATTGAAAAAAGCAAATGAACTGGGTTTTTTTGTTGTTTGTTTTTCCTTTTTTCCTTTTAAGACAAGGTCTCACTATGTGGCCTCAAGCTCTTCCTGCCTCTGCCTCCTGAGTGCTGGGATTACAGGTGTGCATCACTATGCAAGGTGCAAGCAGAGGAACTTTGGATAAACTACTTCTTAATCAAAACAGATTATTTCCTAAAAGATCCAATTAGAAAAAGACTATGGGGTGGAATATCTCAGCAGTAACGCTCTTGTTTAGTATGAGTTCAATTTTTAGTACAAAAACAACTCCAAACAAAACAAAAAACAAGTTGACATCATTTTTAACTGTTTCAATTTTATCTATATTGTGTTGGTTCTCTATTATGAAAAGAGAAAATAAATGTTCTTATACTCCATCCTACTATGTGGTAAGACTCATAAATATGCATTTATATCATTATTGCTATTATTATATACATTCATATTTTCCTTCAATTGTAACTCCACCCAGGCTGCTGAAGCTGCTACTCTAGAACATTGCTGGGCACCATGGGGGAGGCAAAGGGCCCTGGGGATTTTTTCTTGTTGCAATTAAACACTTCAGCATTGAGGAGGTAATCATTTCTGCTCACAACTCATTGGCCAGAACTAGTCACATGATTCCCCACAATCACAAGAGGCCAAGAAGTGTAATCCTGATTCCTGCAGTGTGCTATAAACACTGGAACTATGTGGCAACAGAGTGACAGATGGCCATACAGGTGGTTTACTTTTCCAGCCTAAAAATCTAAAGAATTATTTATCCTTCAAGTTCAATAATTTAACTAGGATATAACTTGATATCAAATGTTCTATATCTATTTTTCCTGAAACAAAATATATATTCCCTTTCTAATGAACAAATTTAATTTATTCATTTCAAGAAATCTCCTGATATATCCTCTTTAACACTTTTGCTAAATAGAAGTTTTAATTTTTTTTAACCACATCTATTCTAATCCTTACTATTTCTGTGTATTAGATGGATCACAATTAGTATTCCTTTTTACCTTTTTTTTTAAACCCTAGTTCTGCAGTTTCCCTTTCCCTCTGTTGTTTGGTCACTTGGTCTTAGAATGTTTCCTTTTTGGCAATACTGGGGTTTGAACTCAGGGCCTCAAGCTTGTTAGGCATGTGTTCTACCACTTGAGCCACACATCCCCATTTTTGCATCTGGTGCTTTTGCCCAGGCCAGCCTGGACTTCCTACATAGCTGGAATGAGATGTGCCACTGTGCCCAGCTTTTACTGGTTGAGATGGAGCCTCACTAACTTTTTGCCAGGGCTGGCCTTGAACTGTGATCCTCCGGATCTCCACTGTAGCTGAGATTATGGGTGTGGGCCTTGAATACATTTTTAAAAAAATCAATTTAATTGCCAGGCGCTGGTGGATCACACCTATAATCCTAGCTAATCAGGAGGCAGAGATCAGGAGGATCAAGGTTCTCGAAGCCAGCTTGGACAAATAGTTCCTGGGACCCTATCTTGAAAAACCCTTCATACACACAAAAAATAGAGCTAATGGAGTGGTTTAAGGTGAAGGCCCTGAGTTCAAGCCACAGTACCACAGGAAAAAAAAAAAAAATTCAAAAAGCTCAGAACAGAACATTCAAAGAGGATTTTTCTTCTCCCTTTTCTGCACATTTTTCCAGAGTGGGTTTTCATCCGGTATTTGTGTGCCTTGTGACCCACCCCTTTGCAATGGAGCCCATGAAACTTTTTCCCATTTTGCTTTTATTCAGTGTGTGTAGGCAATTTTGCCTGTATATTCCATTTATTCTGGTAATAATTACATGAGTTTATTTATTTACTTATTTGTTTATTGTGGAACTCAGGACTAAACTCAGAACCTCAAAGTTGAAAGCACTCTACCACTTGAGTCACACCCCAGTCCTTTGTTTTTGGGCAGCACTGGGGTTTGAAATCAGGGCCTCACACTTGCTAGGCAGGTATTCTTACCACTTGAGCCACTCCACCAGCCCTCCCTCTCCCATTATTTTTTAAAGAGAGATTATGTCTGTGTTGCTCAGGCTGACCTTGAACTCCTGAACTTAAGTGATCCTCCTGCCTCAGCCTGCCCAGTAGCTAGTACTACAAGTGCATGCCATGGTGCACGACTACATGAATTTTTAAAAATCCTTTTCCAATTCTGAGCTATGGGTTTGAGATTGTTGGTTATTGTGTATGACAGTCTCTATCCCGGTGAGGTGCGTGAAGGACAGGCAGATTTACAAACAATCTTTATTCAGAGAGAAAAGATTGTTATCTCACCAGAGAGTTTTAAAGTGCTATGGCAGGGTTTTCTCTACCTACTAAAAGGCATTTCAATTCCTAAGGAGGGGGCTGGAGGCATGGCTCAAGTGGTAGAGTACCTGCCTAGCAAGCACAAGGTCCCGAGTTCAAACTCCAGCACCATCAAAAACAGAAAAAAAAAAAGAAACCAAGTAACTAGGATTATAGGCATGAGCCACTGACACCCAGCTCTCCACTTCTTTGTTAAAAAAAAAAAAAGTCCCAATTCTTAAGGAGGAAATAAATACCTTCTGGGTTGGGACCAGTCCCCTTTAGCATGGACCCCTGGGCCTATCTTTCTGTTAGGAAGAATGACACACATTTTGCTTTACCTGACTAGAACAGCAGCAGTTTCTGTTTCTATCAATTAAAAAAAGGAAAGCAAAATATGATCCTTTAGTTACTTGTTCTGCAAATTTGCGGGGGTACTAAGGAATTCTCAGAACTTTGCTGTGGGAGTGACATTAGCAGGCACACCAGGCCAGAATTTTTTTGCAGCCACTGAAACTTGCTCATTTTTGCTATATTTTCCAATTAACTTCTCTAGGTCGGGGGAAAGATGTTCACTTCACCATGCTTCCTGGGAAATCCTTGCTTTCCACTTTCACTACCTTAAGGCGTTTCCAGCATCTCTTCCCTTCAAAAACTGTTGACAATCTAGGATTAATGAGACGAATGCCAACAGTTATGAGCTAGTTAACTACTTAAGGCCTAAGGAAAGCATCAGTAAGCACGGGTCAAGGTCAGGGGCTGACTGTCCATGGGAAGGGCAGACCAGGAGCATCAAACTGGTGGGCAGGTGACGTCTCATGCTGACAAGTGCTCACGAGTGACGGAGAGACGGAGGCTACTTTAGACCGGGTGTCCAAAGTAGCCCCGGCAGGCCCCCTTCGCTCCCCCTCCCGCCCAGCCCAGGTTCAGCTACTCACACCCTCAGCTCGGACGCGCAGTGCTCCTTGAGCATGGAGTCCGCCAGCTGCTGCAGAAGTGCATCCTCCGCGCCCACCAGCTGCTCGGGGAGAGAAAGCGTCCGACTGAGACTGCAGGGCAGTTCCTCCCCAGGGCCCGGCACGTTGAATCCCTCCTTGGGCGTTCAAGCCGTAGCCGGAGGGCGCCATTTCCCGAGAAGAGGTCCCGAGAGAGGGTGTGAGGTCTGGACCCGCCTCAGGTCTGCGGGGGCCGCTCTGGCTAAGCACCCCGGAACCCTCCTTCCCACCTCTTAGACGCTCCCAACCGCCAAACCCTGCAACGTGGGAAAAAGCAAGTTCCGCTTGACCGTCCAATCCGCCAATCACAAGCTAGTACAGAGCCAGCCGTACACTCCGATTGGCTCAAAGAGTGGCTCTCCCGCCTACCGCCGAAGAGCGCGCGCCGCAGCCCGGCAAACGCAGCGGTCACGGCGTCTTGAGGCGCAGCCAAGGAAAGAAGGCACACCAGAGACGCGAGGCCACCAGTACATACCAAGACGGTGGCTCTGTTCAGCTCAGGCAGCTTGTCTACCGGCCTCAACACCGACATCCCAGTCGCAGCCGAACCGCCGTCTTCTCTGCGCGCGAGCCTCTCAAACCGCCCTAAGCCCCGCCCCTAGTGGGCGGTGGGGGGCACGTTGCCCTCTCTGGGCGGGTCTTCTCGGGGCGGGGCGGGGCGTTCTTAAAGGAGCCGGTACCTCCTCATTTCACCTCCCCCCAGGGCCTCGCCTCAGGTTTTCAGTGATTCATTCATTCACTTTCATTCATTCATGGTCGTTCGCCATAATCTTCATTCCTTCCCCATTTTAGCTAATTCAATCCTGAGAATAAAAGTTTGGGGTCATTCTTGACTTCTTTACACCTACATCAACTCCGTAAGCAAACCTATCAGTTCTACTCAAATGTATCAAGGAACTGGCCACTTTCCTCTACTTCCGCTGTCATTGTCATCTGTCACCTGGACGTTCTCACTGACTCCCTGATTTCACCCTATTCAGCAGGGCTGCCAGTGATTCTCCACACAGCATCAAAATTTTTGTTTGGAAATGGAAATCAGCGCAGACCACTTCTCTGATCCTACCCACCTCTGGTTCCCACCTCACTCAGTACATTGCAAACACCTGGCATGACCTCTGAGACCCTTTGTGTTTTGGCCCCTGCCAACCTCCCTGACCTCATCTGCTCTTCTCCCTCCAGTGCCCCCACTACCATCACACAGGCCACTAGGCTGTTCTTCAAATAGTCCATCTGTCCTCCTACCTCAGGTCCCTTTTGTTCCCTCTGGCTAAAACGGTCTTCTCCCACATAGTCACATGGCTTATTTCCTCACTTCATATTTCTGCTCTGATGTCACCTTATTAGAAGGGCTTTTCTTAATGACACTACCTAAAATAGAAAGTCCCCCCCCATACTCCCTATTCTCCTTTCTGTTTCTGCTCTATCTTCTCCATGCCTCTAATTGCCACATGTCATTGTCTAGCACTTCCCGGCATCTGTAATTTTATCCTACTTATAATCTAATAAACTAGCTCATTACTATTTCATGGATGGCAGCAGAAGACATGAAACTCTGGGAAGAGAGAAAGGACTTGATTATTTTATTTACTTTCTAAAAGCAGTAGCTAGAGCTATATGTCTTTTGTGTTACTTCCCCATGTCCATCAAATTCCATGAATGGCCCTATCCATCATGGTGCTAGTGGGTGGCAATTTAATGAGTGGTAAGCACTGTTGTTCTGCGTCCAAGGGGAGATGTTACCTCATCTATAAGATTCCTTGGTGCAAGCACAACCCTGAGAAACAGCCTGGGTAGAGAGCTATCAGGATCTTGCATTCTTGGCATACCCAGCAAGAAACTTGCAGGGATGTTGAGGGCCATAGCTTCTCCTTACCATATAATTTCATATCCATTGTCCCTCCAGCTAGAGTGTAACTAGGTCACTTTGTCACTTTGTATGTCCAGTACTCTCAAAAGTACCTGATACAGTGTTTGTTAATCAACGTTCATTGGATGAATGGATTGATTTGATACACGCCTTCATTTATTCATTCTCATTTGCAGATCAAATGCCTGATCCTGGGATACAGATGAACCAGACATTATCCATCAGCCATGATGGACGAGACAGACAGTGATGACAGTGTGTTCACTATTGTGGTATCTGGGAGAGCAGGGCCATACTCCATCTTTCTTACTGCAGACTAAACTACCTGTCCTCCTCAGAAAAAGCAAGTAAATGGTTTTGTTGAGTCCCTGGTCCCCACATATGGGGCTTTGATTCCTCGTGGCATTGGGTGTGGGTGGGACTCCCTGAAAATCAGGTTGCAGTAAGCACTATGAAGGTAAAGTAAAGCAGGTTGGGGGAGTGACAGATGGGAGGAAGTTACTTTGGGTCAGGGGAGCTCTCTCTAAGAAGGTGCCATTTGGACAGATTCCTTCATCAGTGAGAGAGAATCCCAGAAAGAAAAATGGAGAAGAGTCTTTAATGAAGGAAGTGCAAATGCAAAGGCCCTGGGAGCACTTCTAAGAACAAGGAGATCTGTGCCTGAAGCAGATGGATGGAGGGGACAGTGGTAGGAGATGAGGCTGGAGAGGAGATTGAGTCTCAAGTCATGGAAAGACTTTGGACCCTGGTCAGGGATTTCCAGGAGGAACCTAACTGAGACCATTCAATCAACAGTTACTGAGTATCTTCCTTGGCCCAGATTTGATGCTGGGCATGGGGAACCCATGCTCTGGGTGTCATCTGCTTCATGGAATTATTACTGGTAGATAAAAAACAGCAGCAGTACAGTAGGTGAGAGCCATCAGGAAGCAGGGAGTAACAGGTGAAGGTGCCTAGATGAAGGGACACTAAATGTCCCTGGAGAGTCCACACCACTGGAGAGGAGGAGATCATTGGCTGAGATGCCAAAGGTGAGTTGGTGCTTGTTTCTTGGGTGGTGGAATAGAAGATAGTTATGTGTAGGCTCCATACTGGGATGAAGGATGGGGATTGGCAAGAAGGCCAGGCCTAGGCCTAAATGATCTTGTATCAGGAATACCCAGAACCGGCAAGGAGACCTCTGGGCCAACATTTTTTTGGTTTTGTTTTTATGTTTTCAGATTGGCTTCTATGGGGCCCTGGGGGGATGCCTTGGAACACTATGAGAGACTTGAAGAATCTGAGCTCATACTTAGGCTGGACACATGGCTTAAGTGGTAGAGCACCTGCTTTGCAAGCATGAAGCCCTGAGCTCAAACCCCAGCCCCACCAGAAAAAAAAAATTACTACTATATGAGCATCACAGCCTACAATGCCAGCACTTAGGAAGCTGAGGCTGGAGAATCATAAGTTTGAGGATAGCCTGGGCTACAGAATGAGACCCTGTCAGAAGGAAGGGAGGGAGGGAGGAAGAAAGAGAGAGAGAAACAGTACAAAGCTGGATATGGTGGCTGGCACCTGTAATCCCAACTGAAATAGGAAGATTTGATTGAGTCCAAGTCTGGACAACATATAAAGACCTCCAATAAAAACTACTGTAGGCAGATCTAAAGTGCACAACTGGGAGTGTTTTGATATATGATGTACCCAGTAAGTCACCATCACAACCCAGGCATCCATCTCCCCCAAATGCTTTTTCCTGTTCCAGTGTATCATTCCTCACCCCTCTCATCCCAAACTGTTAAGAAGCATGTTGACAGCTTTACTCATCAGAGCCCATCCTGGACAAAACCCAAACATTCTTCAGTGCTGAACAGATGAGCTGTGGTAGACGGACACATGCAGCCCATAGATGGAGCTCAAAAGCATTATGCTGGGGGACAGACGATGGGGACAATGTAACTAATGTACAATATAAGTCTAATTGGAATTGTCACTACAAATCCCTCCCACATAATGAATATATCGTAATACAAATTTTTAAAAAGGCAGAAAAAGAAAAGCATTATGCTGAGCAAGAGAACTCAGACTCAGAAGAGTACAGATGGGGTTGGGCATGGTGGCTCATGCCTGTAATCCCAGCTATTCAGGAGGTGGAGATCAGGACAATCAAGGTTCAAGACCAACCTGGGCCCAAGTTAGTAAGACCTCCATCTCAGCCAATAAATTGGGTATGGTGGTATGCCTGTCTTTCCAGCTATGTGGGAGGCATAAACAGGAGGATTCTAGTGCAGGCCAGCAGCCTGTGATTCTATCAGTATGAAACCCTAACATAGGCAAAACGAATCCATGGTGATAAGTGATAGAAGTCAGAGCAGTGGGGAGAGCTCTGATTAGCAAGAAACAGAAGGACCTCTTTGGATGGAGGTTGCACAGATGTGTACCCAGGTAAAAATCCATTGCTTAAGATTTGTGCACTTATGCTGGGCACTGTAACACACACCTAAATCCCAGCACTTCAGAAATACAACATACCGAAATTAGTGGGATGAAACTAGAGCAGAGTGGGAAGGGAAATTTATAGCATTGTTTTGGAAAGGAGGAGCCAGGTGTAGTGACACAAGCCTGCAATTCCAGTATTTGGGAGGTAGAGGCAGGAGAATCTCATGTTCAAGGCCAGCCTGGGCTACATAATGAGGCCCTGTCTTAAAAAAAAAAAAAAAAAAAGATTTGTGTATTTGACTGTGTGTACCTTACATCTGAATTTAAAAATCCCTTTGTGAACCAAATCATTCCCTTAACCTACATACTCTGGAGAGGACCCACCATACTTTCAGGGCTCCCAGATGGTCCCAGCTGGCAGGGTGATTGGGTTGGGGGCAGGGGTTCCCAAAGCCACCTCACCCAGAGCCTTTCACACCTGTTGTCCTCAGGTTTCTGGGAATGGACTCTGGGGAGCTGGTACCAGTGGCTCTTCCCTGCCCTGGGTGCTGGGGCTGCTCTCTCCTCCCAAGGCAATAGCCACTGCTGTCTATGGAATCCTCACTGATGAGACGCCATGCATACGCTCTGTCTATAGCTCAGGGGTCCAGGCTTGGAGGGTAGATCTCATACTTGAACCTCTTAATTCCTTGGTCAGCTCAATCACAGAGCAGCTGAGTGACCTGGAAGGCTTCACCTCTTGGAGCCTCAGCTGCCTCACCCCTCCCCATAAACCCCCTAAGACTCACCCAGTGGGTAGGACTGAATGAAGTGCTGTGTGAGCCAAACCTGACAGGTGGGGTGGCTCAGTGCCTGGGAGCCACAACCCTCACAGGCTGCAGCCCAGCCAGGGGAGCTGTGGGGCTGATGAGGCAGAATGGGGAGAGGCAAAACTTTGTGGGGGTCTAGGCTAGGGCCCTGACCTTCCTATTGCCCCTTTCTTGCTGTGTGATCTTGGATGAGGATTAAATGGGTTGACAGAAATAAAGCACTGAAACCAGACTCTGGCACAGGATAAGAGCCCCACTGAGCCAGTGTGTTCCTGACTTTCAGTCTCAGTCTTGGATCTTCCCTCTATAAGGTATGACTCTCACTGGCTCTACCTATCTTTGCTTCTGTGTCCCCACCCCCTTGCCAGAAATCCCAATCTCTCCTTTCTCTCAATCTGCAAACCACCAAACCCTCTCAGTTATCTGTCAGGGTCCTCTCCTCTCTGGGCCCCCCAGCCTTGGGGCCCGGTGGC